TTATTGAATCATTCTACCATTCGAAACAGATGTTTCCTTTTCGAAAAGCTCCACATTTTTCCTGTACTCGCTTTCCTCCTTTCCGCACATTTTGTTAAGATTTTCGGCCTTTTCGTAATTTTCACTCAACCAACCCTCCAATTTTTTATTGTAATACCTCAGGGCATCTATCCTTTGCCGCAAATCGTCGGCGTCGCAGGCAAGTATCATCTGGAGACTCTTTCGTTGACGCGTTTTTCGGCATTTCGATCTATAAGGTTTTTGTTGACATTTAGAACGACACTTTAAAATGCTATATGTATAATTATTTACCTACATCGGGCCAGATTTTTCAAACCCGGTCCGAACCCGAATTTTTTTTAAATCGGCCCGGCCCGAATTTATTTAAATGTAGAAAATGCATTTCTAAATAAAATCAAATATTTTTATTTTACATAAAAAATTTAACATAAAATTGATAAATTTAGATATATTTTTAAAAAAGATTCGAAGGCCCGACCTAACCCGGCACAAATTTTTTAAAGAAATATTAAGCCCCACGCAACCCGAAGCCGATATTTTTTAAAAAATAGGCCCGGCCTAAGCCTAAACCTAAACTGCAGATCTCTAAAGTATATATACAAATACGACTTAACACCTTAAATATAGACTTTCTACCTAAACGTCCTGGTAAGTTTTATGGATATACAGACTCAAAATATAGAAAACTACGTACCAGTCAATTGCAAAGATCCGAGTGAAATCTTACGACTAGACTTTTCTGATGATAACATTTTTTTTCCCCCCAGGAAAATAAAAAGTATTAAAAAATGAATTGTTAAATTTAAGAAATACGAGAGCCAGTTATGCATATTATACACCAAGATGATAGTATTTTTTACATTTTATAAAGGTTTTTAAAAAACGATACAATCCCGATCCCCTAAATATATATTTGGAGTATCTGAATCGTATCGTTTTTTTTAAAAAAAAATTAAATAAATTTTCACGAAAATTTTACGGTCTTTAATAAATTAACGAATTCGTATGACAGGTGCCAAAAGTCACTTAATAAAGCCAAATCTTGTTGTGCTTTTCTAATTGCAAAAAATAAAGAAATCAGATGACAGGTTGATAGAGAAGGTGAGGGGGGGGGGGTAGGAGGGTAAGGAAAATATTTATATTTATTCTTCATTATACTTAATCTAAGCTGTGCAAACGAGAGATAGACCATAAGGGCATACATTCGGCTAATTAATTTTATGGTCTAATATAAAATATCAAATTTTTGTCTTAAAATAATTTAGCATTGACCACCTCACCTGATTACTCTCACTGTAGACAGCGATCCCGCATTTTAATTTAAATGCATTGAAACTTATTTCTCAGTAGAACAAACAATTTACCACCATATTTTCCCACGTTTTTAAAAAGATTCCATTTTTAAAAGCAAAATATATTATGAAATCCTGGAGTTTTCCTACTACATAGAAGGGCAGAAAAGTTTGGAGACATCTATTAACGAAAATCAAGAGGCTCAATGTAATTAGTATTTTTGGCTAGAATCTTTATTTTTAAAAAAAAATTGGTCGTATTAAGGCCGACCAACAAAACTAGTCGCAATCTTAGTTCTCGCTTCCGAGATAATGATTAATCAATGATTGAAGAAAAGAAAAATTTACATTTACGAGCACTTAAAAATAAAGTCTATCTATTACTTCAAGAGCTATGTATAATATCTATGTATCGGTTTTGATTGGGGACTTTAAAAAGAAAAGAAAAGAAAAGAAAAGAAAAGAAAAGAAAAGAAAAGAAAAGAAAAGAAAAGAAAAGAAAAGAAAAGAAAAGAAAAGAAAAGAAAAGAAAAGAAAAGAAAAGAAAAGAAAAGAAAAGAAAAGAAAAGAAAAGAAAAGAAAAGAAAAGAAAAGAAAAGAAAAGAAAAGAAAAGAAAAGAAAAGAAAAGAAAAGAAAAGAAAAGAAAAGAAAAGAAAAGAAAAGAAAAGAAAAGAAAAGAAAAGAAAAGAAAAGAAAAGAAAAAGAAAAGAAAGATTTTAAAAAAATTGAAACCATTTACAAAATACGCATATAATTTTTTTTTTAAGGCTGTGTCCAAAGTATCAAAAAAATTTAATCGCGCAATTTGCGCAAATCTAGCGAGAAAAAAATATAAGCCATTTTTAATGGAAAATTAAAATTTTGGCCTAAATCATTTTTTGGTATTTATAGAAATTTGAAAAAATCATTTAGGTCAACATTTTAATTTTCCATTAAAAATGGCTTATATTTTTTTTTCGCTAGATTTGCCCAAATTGCGCGATTAAATTTTTTTGATACTTTGGACACAGCCTAAATAATAACTCATTTTGACTGCTTGCCGATCATTTTTCCTTTTTCAAAATTCTAATCAGCGTATTAATAATAGTAATTTTCAAATTACAAACAATATTACACATTTAATCATATTTGAATAATAATGTTATCACCTCCAAGTATATCAAAATCTACAATTTCAAGAAAATAATTGGTAATCCTTGCTTCTTTTTCCGAATATAAATTCAGAATGATAAAATTAAAATTTACGTGGAGCCTTTCCCTTTGACCTGATAAGTCAATATGACTTAAAAATTTTTGAAAGTTTTTTTTTTAAATCTAAATAAATATGAATGAAAACTGACTTGAGAAGGTGATTCTAGATTTTTCTGGCAGGCGTCATTGACCAATTTCGGTTGAGTTCGGTAGGTCTCGTAAGTGCTTGTAGGTGAAGAATGCCCTCCCTTCCCCAACGAGTCATTTTTCCAACCGGATAGCAATGTTTTTTCCAACCTTGCAAAAATGGAATTCGAGGAATCCTCCATCAAATCTTTAGACGAAGATGAGTCTTTCTTTTTTAAGATGATTTTTTTGAAAGATTCGATCTGCTTTGGGACAATTTTGCTCGATGAACATATGTTGTCTTTGTTGAAGCATTCCATCTTCTTAGGGAAGTCTGTACTCAAGGTCTCTTTCTTAGTCGATGCTTCCGGGGAGATGGGAAGATACATGTCACCATCTTGCAGCTGGTTTTGGATTGGTTCGTGGATCCCTTTTTCTTTACAAAATTCTGCTGTCGTTTGATTCGAATTACCGACCACGACACTTTTCTTGTCTCTCTCGTCTCGCGCGGAAATTATCAGGTTCCGCGAAGATGACATTCCGGAAGTACTGGATCCTTGACTTATTTCCTCCACCACGAGTCCGCTTTGGTTATTCGGATCTTTGACGTACTTTCGCAGTTTATCGATAGAACCCGTAGAAAATTTTTTCATCAAATTTTCGAAAAAGGTGCCATCGGACGACTTTCTTTTGCAAAGGGTATTTTCTTTCTCCTCCGGCTTCAATTCGAGAGCCTTAAAAGTGTCTTTGACCGAACCCTTGTATACTGCCTTTACATCCTCCGATTTTTTCCCATCAGGTGGCAGCTTCCTTATGTTAGGAATGACACGAGAATGACCAATGATTATACGATCATCTTTGCTTTTATCGCAATTAGAATTTTCTAGGGTAGAAAATTTGCTAAATGATTTCGAAAATACAACAGGTTCCTAATAATTTATTATTTTTTTTTATCTTGACCAAATTAATTTCACAGATAAAATTTAATGTTGAACCAAAATGACGTCAACAATAGCCTAGATTGACGTTTCGTATATTAAAATGACCATTAAAGGGGTGTACATACTTTGAAGTTAGCCATAATAAATTAGACGAAAAGGAAATTTAAACAAAAATATCTCTTAATGGTATTGACTATAGCTGACTTCCATAAATGTACGTACCCTTTTAGTAATATTAATGTCAATCGTGTTTCACTATTAAAAGTTTAAATGCTATAAAATTGTTTATAAATTACCTCGTTCAAACTAGAATCCGCCTTTCTGTCAATGCTAATGGAGTGAGATCTCGGACTCTTGGATCTCTGTTGTTTGGAGGTTTCATAGTACTCTATAGGGCTAGGAGTATGATTCATCTAATGAGAGAAAGCGTTAGGGAAAAAAAAGATAGAATTGAACAAAACTTATTACATTAACAGAAACATTAAAAAATAAATTTTATTAGTAGGAGAAATCAATGACGTTGCAAGCCAAAAATAATACGAGAAACGTATCAATTTGATATTTTGGAAAATGAGTAATACATTTTAAAATTTAAAAACAATCATCGAATCGAAATTATAATTATATATCGAATGAGAAATTGGGAATATCATTTATTCCATCAACTCAAACCCTAATAAAAGCCTAAAAATTGAGCTAAATTCCCGGTTTGTCGAGAAACATCATTTCGTTTCAGATTTCGCGCAGGGATGTGAGCCTCAACCCTGATTCAGGAATTATAAACTCTATTAAACGGAAATTTTGATAACAGGAAGTTAATCGAAAACCACTAGTAGAGGTCCGAACCGGTCCTTGGCTCGTGTTACCCCGGGTTTGAGAGTTGTCCGTAAATCGGTCTCCGTTTGGTCTGTGGTATCAAAATGCCCAGCCAAACCATTTTAAATTTCTGAACCCAGGTTCGGGTTCGCCTGGTTGCAAGAAGGTCTAGCTAGCTCTTCGTTCGATTCCTCTATCAGTAATTTTTTCCGTTCTTGATATCGATTATTATGTTGAAGTCGGGTTTTCGCATTTATCGGCTGCGACCGGGGAGATTTTGTCAGATAAAATAACTAGATTTTCCTTGGTTTTAAAAACCTGATCCTGAATGCCTTCAACTTTGCTTTGGACCGATCAGAACAGATTTCGGTTGACTTTCACCAATTTGAGAGCTCTTCAAAGTCCAGGGAAATAGCCCGAAAATATTAATTGGGCTTTTTTTCAGAATTTGCCTAGAGTCCCTATCTAGTGTTGTTGAACGACACTCAATAATTAACAAGAAAAATATTGCCTAAGCCTAGAGATATCGATAATATATGTCTGAACCTTTGTTCAAACTATGAGCAAAATCTTCAGGATTGAATAATATTTTTCTGGATAAAATATTGAATTAGCCATTTTTAAAAATCGGCTCCAAAGGAGCTGTTTAACAACACTAGTCTTATCTACTATATTAGTATAGATATTTTTTTAAAAGAGAAATTTGAAATTTATTGCCTCTGGTCATATAGGATTCCAATTATCTTATAGATTATTATTTCTTCTTTTTTTTGAAGATTAACCATGTTATACGTGTTACGCTGCATTTATAGTAAACGTTTGATCTTCTAGCGTTTCCTTATTTGACGCAATATTTTTCCAGCTGATTCAGTTATAAAAACTAATTTTAAGATAAAGCTAAAATAGAGATAATTATTTTAATATAATATTTAAGAAAAAAATCATATACCTTTTTTTTATAGAATTCGCTATTATTTCTATAATCGTAATCGCGTATTTTTTATCAACGCATCGTAACATATGTTTTTACGATTTTATTATAGCAATATCAACGCTGCGTTAAATAACACAACGCTTCGACTTAAACGTATATTCTATAAATGCGGAATTAGTTAGCGTCAATAAATTATTTTTTTAAATATTTAAATAACTTTTTGAAGAGCGTTTATTAAATTATTTTTTTTAAAAAAATTTGATTTTACCGGAAATGCATTTCATTCATATTAAGAATACCATACCCTAAGAAATTTCAGAAAATTTTGGCTCCAAATTTTGAGTCATTTACAATTTATACAAAGAATCTATAAAAGAAAATAAAAAACTAATATAAATTGTTTTAAATATTTATGGAAAAAATATTTATTTTTTTTGAAAAATCAGAGTAGGGTTGTTAAATATGCTGGAATAAGACTAAGAAATCAATTATGTTGTGATAGTTGATTAAGATGTTGATAAAGCATTTACATATTTAATCTGAGTATAGTCTAATTTAAAACTTTGTAATGCTTTGAAATTATGATTTTATATTAAATATGAATGTTATTATTGGGAAACTTTGCCGATTTATTATTATACATAGATGACCAGGAGATATTATGTAAAGTAGTTGCTAATTTTATTCACGAAACATTTTAATTTTTTGGGGGAAACTTTTAATTTGTTCGATTATTTTTAATTTTTTTGCATTTTTTTTTAAAAATATTTATGATTTTTTAAGTTGCTTTTGGAGATATGATTTGTAGATCATTTGGACCCCAAGCCCTAAAATTATTCAAAACAATAGGGCAAAGTTTATATTTAATAACAGGTGATCCATAAAAGGGCTTTTACTTACAATTTATATTATAGATCGAAATTTTCCTATCCAACTATATTTGTATATCAAATCTTCTTAATACTTCTTCTAGACTAACTACATGATCAAAATTTATCTCGCCAGAAATTATTATGCCATTTTAAAATACACTAACCATAGGAATTCTATTTAAAAGGTTTTGCATAAGTTGAAATATTATCGGAGCGCTAGTCAACCCAAAAGATATTCTTAAGTATCGATGATATACGACATGAGTCGAGATTATTAAAAGGTCCCTACATTCTGGACTAGCTCTGAATTGTTAAAATGCATTTCTTAAATTTATCGTCGAAAATATTTTACCACCACTTGCGTTCCTATTTGTTAGGTCGACGAAAGTTGGTAGTAAATCGTTATCTATCGTTAATTTTTTTTTTAGTGCTAAACGAAAATCTTTGCATATCCGCACTGCAATTTCTGTCAAATTCAGCTTTAACGGTTTGACGGGAAATGGAACTTTTTTTGTTGGTATAGCTATCGGTAATGCTTTCGGTTGTATGAGGATAACTGCTTGTTAGAGTTTTAATCTCCTAAAAAAAAATTTTAATATTTGTGAAAATTTAGATGAAGTAGTATTTAAAGTGGGAACATTCATATTTATATTATTTATCCGAAAATTTTCCGTAAGCTTTTTATCGAGATTTGTAAAATATATTTCTTTTATTTTAAGTTTTTAAAAAATTATTTAAAAATTTCACGTTATATCAATATCAAAAGTAAAAAATGAAGTTAAAAAAATATCTTATGGTCTTCAAAATGAATGTATCTATATTAAGTGCTAATATCACAACAAAAATAAATAGTTAAATTTATAGGCGTAGCGGGGGTAGGGGACAAGGGGAAATTCCCCCCCCCCTTCTAAATTTTTCACTTTTGTGAATATCATTTTAAGTTATTAAAAAATATCCCCATTAGTCCTCCCTCTACTCCCTGATCCCCAAAAATGTATGCATATATCTAAAACAATAATTTGAAAGAAAGAATGTAAAACTTGATATTTTTTTAAACTACAACTATTCAACATAATTTATGCATGGAAAAAGCATTTAAATATAAAAAAAGTAAAGCAAAAATGTTTTTAAAGAAATGTAATATAAGCCAAAGATAAGTCTTAAGACAAAAGTGAAATGTATTATAATTATAATAATTGATCCATAAATTACTAAATAATATAATATATAAAATATAATTTTTTATAAAGTGAGTAATTTAATTTATTTATTCTAATAAAAGTAAAATATAATTATAAAACTATTGATAAAATTAAATCGTAAATTAAATAAAAAAATTGAAGCACAATCAATACAAACAGTGGAATATTATATGCAGCCTTTAAGTTATATCAATATACAAGAAATATTTAAAAAATTTAGGTTATGTTTAATAAAAAAGAAATAATAAAAAATTCGATTCAATATAGATTACGTTAATATAAAAGAAATAACAAAAATATCAATTTAAATTAAGTTACATAAGTATAAAAGAAATAAAAAATAAAGAAAAGCTAATTTTTGTTTATGCAATATAAAAAAATAACAAAAAAAAATAAAAGTTAACATCATCAACTACCTTTAGAATAAAAGAAATATTTATTTAAAAGGTATGAATTTTAAATAAAATGATCACGATCCTTATTTTAAATAAAAATCAAAAATCTAGGAATATTGCCAAAATTTGGTTCTTTCTTTCTTTCTTTATTTATTTATTTATTTCTCCTTTAACTCCATCTTTTACCAACTTGGGTTTGAGACCTAAAATTAATACTCTATCATCCTTTAAAGGAGACTTATATTTTCAGTTGGTTTGCCTTAATTTTATATAATAATAATGAAGAGGAAAGTTTTTCCATTCCCCTAATTATATATCTTCCAATCACTATACTTTAAAAAATGAGAGATATTTGAGATCTCGTTCAATTTTTTATGCAAAAATTTCCAGCATTTATCAATTATATAATTAAGTAATATTATTATTTTTAATAATTTCAAGTAAACTTATATATATTATATTTATAGCTTAATAAAAAAAAATTACATTCATTTAAAAAATGGTTCATTTGTGAGCTTCATCTCGTTACATTTCAGACACCGGCTCAAATATAAAAATTAAAGGTATGGGTAACGTATTAGCAGCTACACAACCCTTTAACTCAAATTTAACTCCTTCTGGGGATGCTTTAGAAAAAAAATTCGAAGATATTACCTTATCTAACCCTGGACCATTTGAAGAAATTCATAGAAAATGCAAAGGTTGTTTTAATCTAATCTATTATATATAATATTTCTATTTAAAGATGTATATCCTATGACTTTTGAAGGGGCACGTTTAATGGTTAACAAGGGATTAAGTAATCATTTTCAGATCTCACACACCCTTTCAATTGGGAATATGAATTCAGGTTATCGGTTTGGGGCAACTTATGTTGGTAACAAGCAATATTCACCTATTGAGGTTTTATTTATTAATACAAATGAATATTCAATATTTGATATAGGCATTTCCAGTTTTTTTAGGAGACATGGATATTAATGGCAATTTAAATGCTCAAATTTTACATCAACCCTCATCTAATCTTCGATATAAATTTGTTTCTCAGGTAAATTAGCTATGTTTAATATATATATATTATAATTTTTTTAAGATTCAAAATAATAAAATGGTAGCAAATCAATTCACAGCAGATTATAAAGGTAAAAACTATACTGCATCCCTAACCCTAAGTCCAAATATGGCACAAAATATATTTGCCTCTCATAATATACTCTCTTCGATCACATCTGGCATAATAGTAGCTCAATATTTACAAAATGTCACACCAAGTATAGCTTTAGGTACAGAATTAATGTATCATAGAAACCCTGAATCTAATGGAGCAATGATGATATCTCCTTTTGGGGGAGCTATGGGTGCAGGCATGCCAACCCATAATGCAATCATGAGTGTTGGGGCTAGATATACAGGTATCTCAATTTTTAATAAAATTTCACATAAAGTAACATGATAATATGAAACCAAATATAAGAGTCATTCTTGTGATTATTGAACCAAGCCTGAAACATTAATAATATTGGCACATAAATCAGTCCTTTAAAAAAATCTATTAACCTGTTTGAATATTTTGTTTTTAAATTTGTCATTTGTGTATATTACTATTTGACAATACTTGCTACCATAGGTGGCATCTAGTAAAAAGCCAAACTCGACATTTTAGGCCCAGCATGGATATTAATTTTTTTTTTGTTTTCAAGCCTGATCTGGCCAACATTTAAAAAAAGATTTCGTTTTCAAGTCTCTGATCTTAAAAATTTTGGCCCAATTTACATTTTTTTATCATTTTGTAGCCCATATTAGAATTTACTAATTGTTTTGAAGGGATGAGAATTTCCAACTGATTAATTGTTATATTTTTAAAAATTAACCTGGCCAAAGTTGAAACCCCTCCTACCCCATCTGGATTTTACAAGTCATCATTTTTTTGGAGCTTGTCCTGTAGGTTTCTAGTAAGAAGTACATACAATGAAATTTGTCTCCTGATAGATTTGTTAGAAAAGAATCATTGCAATCCTTTTTTTAGGAAAATACTTATTTTAATTATTTTATTCTGTTAATATTTGAATTATATATATGTATTTGTGTTTATAATATAGGGGAAAATGTGCTTCTTTATCTTGTACCTAATTCTAATAAATTTATATGCCAAACAGTTCAAACCGTTTTTTTCTGAACTGAGTCAGAATTTGTTATGGTAGCAATCCCTATTTTTATTGAATCATAATATCATCATGAAATTTTCTTGTTTAAAGATTTAATATATTGGAGTCCGTAGTGCCAACTAGGGAGGGCAGCAGCCTCCTGAAACATAAGAGCCCCCTCAAAATTTAAAATTTTTTTTATACCATTAAAATTAAAAAAAAGGTATTTAAAAATATAATTTTGGTCCCCTGAAATTGTAAAGGCTTGTGACACCCTTGGTTGGATATAATTTAAAGTATCAATTAAACCCATGGCAGGTTAAATTAATTTTGCCTTGCCATTAATTTGAATCATCCATTTTTCTTTGACTTTAAAATCTTTAAATTTTTAGAATCATAAAATATGCCGGTAAACTTTGTGCCACATATGATCAAAGCCTTCAGGTTTGCTCAATATTCTTCTGGGTAAAATATTGAAGCCATTTATATTTAGAAGGGGCATAGGCAAGACTAACTTATTTAATATTTCTTCCATATTAATAGTTAATGCATCCTCCAACTGTAGTTGTGTATAATCATAAATAACATTTCATTTACCCAACTCTTTCAACAAAGTGACATTTTTTGTTAAGGTATTAAAAATTATAAGGTCAAGTTAAAATTAAATATTCTTTGTGGGAATTATTTGAAATGTGACATAAGTAATGTATTGGTAAAATTTCTATTTAAAGCAATACTTCTTAATTTCCAAAATTATTTTGAAAATGGTGTAGAAATAGTATTATGTTATTTTCAATTTTATAAATATAAATCACTTTTACCAGTACATGACTACCGCTGGAAAATTTAGTAAAATAGAATGAGTAAAATCGTAATTAAATTAATTATGATCTACATTAGATCTTAAAATAGATAGACCAAAAGATTTATTTGTCAATAGTCATGCCAGTTAATAATAACAGAAATATCGAAAAATACTTTGAATCAAAATATGACTTTAAAGATTCATTGTAAATGCTTTAATATTACGGTGGACAATAAACTAATAGTTTTTAAATATAATAGAAACCTAAAATCCTGAATATTGATCAATATCATTTGCCTTAATTATATTGGCAAATTTATGTTATGCAATGATAAAATTTATAGCACAAATATAATAGTTGAAAAAATTAAATAAACAGTTAGAAATCACGTATTTTATTTTCAATGTAGGCCAAATGGTGTAATTTAATTATTTGAACATTATTATTTCCAAGATTTAGACCAAAAAAATATACACCTCAAAAACCTTATAAATTTTTGTTTAACTTAGGTTCTAACTACGTAGCCAGTGGCTCTCTCGGTAGTGCTGGCATCAAGGCTACTTATTGGCAACTGATTTCCCCCATTTTTCAAGTTGGCGCTGAGGTGGAGACAAATCCAACATTTGGCGAGAGCTTAGCTACATTGGCCTACCAAGTTAATATTGGGTCTGTTGCTAGCCAGTACCCCAATCCTTCCCACAATATGAATTCTCAACCATCAACTTTCCGAGCCTACATAGATTCTAATGCTACACTAGGAGCTACCATCGAGAAAAGACTCACTCCACTTCCGTTAACCTTGAGTTTGAGTGGGTCACTAAATCACGCCAAAAATATGAGCAAATTTGGTATAGGAGTCATGCTGGGATGATCAATACAATTTAGAGATTTTTTTTAAATTATACAGATAGAATGTTTGCGTTATTAGCTCCTGTACAAGCCTGAATATCATTTTACAGTTACCCTTGTGCCTTTTTACAAAAATGTGTCTTTTTATTACTTTATTCTTGGTATCCTTATTTATTATGCTTATCTTAATTTCAGTTAAACTTAGATATACTTTTTCTTACGCAATACTCTAATAAGAAACAATTTTAAATCAAGCTGTGATAAAAAAAATTTATATAAGATGGTGTTTTTTGATAAATTGTTCATCTTCTTTCTAGCTAGTCCATAACTTTTTAAGTAAAATTTTTATCTTTGGAACCTTACAAACCATATTTTTTTTGGTCGGATTTTCTAGCCAAAAAATACTACCTTTTTATAAATTATAATTTCATCTTTAAAAAAAACAAACACCACGCCATTTTAATATTTCCTTACCAGCTCAAATCAAAATGAAGGAATCCCTTTTTTATTTTATAATTTCTATAGTAAAGGCTATCATTACAATATTATTTGAACAAATATTTTTATTGGTCCAAAACCGCGTTATTGATTGCGTACGATTTCATGTATCCATTTATGTTGAAAAATTTTTTATATATAAATTGTGATGATACAAAAATTTCGCGCGCAATTGAACCCGAATTATTAAAATTTTATAGGAATATATTATATATATAAATTACTTGAAACGTTTTTGATTCCTTATTTTCTTTAAAAAAAATTTTTTTTTTTAATGCTGTTATATAACATCGTTATCTTTTTCGAAAAAGATGGAGCCATTCGTTACCTTCTTTTAGAAGAAGCGGAAACGCGTTTCTTATTTTTTGAGTAAAGGTAACGCAAAACGCTACTCGTTATTTTAAATTTTATTAATAACCTAATTGTAAAAAAAAATGGATTTTAATGACGTTCAACGCTACGCATAATTACTTCGGTCCAGTGTCTTCATGAAAGAAGTAACATGTCTGTATATACCACACTATTTTCCAACTAAATTTTTCTCCCTTACCCCTTTAGAGATATATGGGGGGAAATCGCCCCCATCTCCTGGTCATAATGTCACTGGTCGGGCGAATCAAACGGCCTTACTCTTTTGGATAATATAAAATAACTGGTTGCGAGATATATTTTTTAAAACTAATTGCAAATTACCTTATGTCTAAAATGGGTGCCAGTTTTCCTCCAAAAATTTTTCCTACTACACTATACACTAAACAACAGTTCTACGAGTGCACTATATATTATATTTAATAAAAATAATTTTTTTTAAATTTGGAAAGATAATAAATTAGATACATTTAAATATTTTAAAAAATTACATGATTTAAATAGTAATTAGTTAATCTTATTTTTCGCAAAAATCTACTTCGAGCTCATTATTATTGGAGTTAGGGCTTAATTATTACAACAAAACCATCCAAATGAGTTGGTCCTTTATTTTCAAGCCGGCAAATCAACACTAATTTATAGGACCAGAAATTCTAAGGGTAAACGTTATTCTCGAATTTTATATATTTAATATAATCGCAGAAACTATTGGCCTTGAGATCTGCACTGCAATAGGCAGGTTTTAATCCAAACGCCCGCTCGTCTATTTTTAAAAAGTTAGCAGGCTCTGCTAGAATTTTTTAAATTAGCCTACCCATTTTACTAAAAATTTTGTTTAGCCCAGCAATGTTTACAAATTCTTCTGATGGCTGATTTAGCTCTTTATATTTTATAGTTTTTTAATTAAACTTAAAAAATATGCAATTATGAAATAAAAAATATGAAATTTTTACATATATTATTCATTCTGCTCAAAATTATTTAAAATTCATTCGCTCTTTGTTTTAAAAATAGTTTTTAACCCACCGGCCCAATGTCTAAAATCTTTTAGCAAGTCCGCCTGAAGAATGAGTGGGCCAAAAAACTGCCCAATGCGGATTTCTACTTTTGCCCACCTCCAATAAAAAAATATCAAGCCTTAAGATTCCACATATACATGGCCGAAATGTTTGGCTATCTTTTTATTAACCTCTATAAGCAATATTTTTATGTTTTGAATCTTGATTTAGGGTTTTTCAAGCACTTAAATCTAGTGTTGTTAACTAACTCAATATTTTAGCCAAATAATGTAATGCAAGACTGCAGATTTTCCTCATAGATGGCAAAAATGTTTAGACATTAGCGAAATCGCAAGGTTTAAATAATAATATTTTGGCTAAATCCACACGTTAACTACACAACTTTAATCAAAGTTTCGAGATCCATGATGTTAGCAACATTTGAAAACATAATTTAATTTGTATTGAACATAATTTTGATATGATTATTTTTAAAAATAATATTCGTAAAAATTTAAATATTTTAAAATCAAGCTAATAATCTGACCAAGTCCAGGAAATGACATGACCTATTTTTGATGATGCAACATTCTATTAAGAGAAACCATAGACCTATTCCAGGTTTTGAAATATATAAATGAGTTATACCACAAATAGATTTCAATTCTGATTAAAAGATTTATTATATCTCATGGCCTGGATATCCATGGTGATCTTCCCAGAATATTCTCACCTTGTCATAATCTCCCCTTGCCTTATATCTCTCTATCATAGGAAAGTTCCTAGTCCTAGCTCAGGCGCGTAACCAATGGGGGGGAAAGGTGGAAATTTCACCCCCCATAGCAAATTGACTGTTTTTCTAAATATTATTTTAAGATAATAAAAAATTTTACCCCGACCCCCGGACCCCCTCTCCCATTAAAATTTTTCAATATCAAGCAGAGTTTATCCTTACTGCTAGTTGCATTAATAAATTATTTTTCTATAGCTCACTACTATGTAGAAATTTACAAAAACCAAATTTCAATTTGGTTCAAGTTATTGATTTGGAGGAAAATGTGGACAGGAAGAATGAATGTAGTTGAATATTTCAAAATATTTATATAGACGTTGAATTAAATCTTATAAAATATCCAATTTCATTCCATTCTTAGATACTTTTTTATCGCAAATTAAAGTACGGTTTTTAGATAAAAAACAAGTCTTTGGTAATCTTCAAATTTTATTACCTAAAGACCCTTCTTCGTTTTCTGATGCCATTATTGGTATAATTAAATATTTAGCAAAATTTTATTCCTATGATGTTGATACTGAAATCAATTTAATCAGTGAATTCGAATTGTGGTATAAATATTTACTACGTTTATTATTTTACCTGAGCATGCTATTGATGCGCTCAATCGGTATAAAAGGCTTAATTTATTTTGAAGGTATTCTTGCATGTTTGCCTATTACAACATATACGAATGAAAGGACCTTTTTCAAATTTAGAAGGTTGAAAACTTATTTACAAAATACTACTTCTCGGCTAAATGGGTTAGCTATGTTAAATATCCACAGAGATTTATTTCCAACGACAAAGAAAATTCTTGATGAATTGGAAAAATTCCCACGAAAATTAAAAATCGCATTATAATTCTAGTATTTAATAAATTTTTTATATAATATTGTATTTAATAAGTTATAAAAACTTGTTCTTTAAAAAATTTTCTAGTCAATATTTTATACTCACTACAATTAGAATTTTCAATCAAAAAAATTTTATATTTATATTATATGAGAATTTAAGCTGAGGCTAGTTTTTAAAGCAAATTTTATAAAAAAAAAAATTGACACTAAACTTTATTTCAATTTTATACTTTTTAAAAAAAATTTATCTATAATATACCTAACTTAAAATAAAAATTGGGTTATAACTTTTATTTCTTCTTATATTCATAAGCGCGAATTAGTAATCAGGAGACCCAAAAGAAAGCGACTACTTACGTCAACGCATAGGAATTCAGATTATAAAATCTAATTTTACACGCCATAGGTTCATTCCCCGAGGAGCCGATTAATCTAGATTTTCTTCTTCTTCACTATGAAGTCCTTGTTTGTTAAATTTCTTGAATTTTCTAGAATTATGTTTTGGACATGATTTTATTTTTATACTATCATTTTGTCAGATTTAATTTGTCTTTATTAATAAATGTTAAATTTAAAAATTAAAAAAAATATTTCTTAAATAATTAATTTATAAAAGGAACCAAAATTCAAAAAAAAATTAAAAATATTAATATAATTATTATTGAATTATGAATAATTTAAAAGAATAGATCAAAGATATGACCCGGCCGAAGGTGAGGAAAAAGCTGGCCAAAGGGGGTTTGGAGGCAAATCCCCCCAAAAAATTTCCCCCCTATAGGAAAATCCTGGATACGCCACTGTCCTAGCTAATGCATATTTAATTCATTTTTTTCTATATAATATTGAAATTCATCAATTGTATTGATGTACTAAATTGTTATGTTAACATTTCTTAATTATATTATTCTTTCTATGTTGTCATTTTATTTAATGTATTTTGAAATTTTAATAAACAAACATTTCATTCATAACAGATGGGTGTAAATATCATTTTTATAACTTGCAATTTTATGTTGCTCACGTTAAGATGAATCGCCTGAAAATCCCATACAACAGTAGCTTTCTCATCTCCACTTAAATATACATTTATTTTAAATTAAATTTACAAACTTCAACAATAAGATAAATGCCACTGTTATATTTTATAACAAAAACGCATACATTTATAAACAAAGGTTAGATAAATACAATCAAAAAATTAATTTTATATACTAATAAATAAAAAATTAACTTGTTTTACTTTCTTATTAAATTACTTTATTATAACCGTCATTTTTATTATTGGGATTACATTAAAAAATAATTTTGTTGGTTGATTTAATTAAAATCAGCTCTCTAATTTACTATTACCTTTATAATTTGTAATATTTTATTTTAATAATTATTAATCTTAAGCAAATTGTAATAAAAGATATGCTTTATCTCAAATAGAGACGAAGTAGTTTATCTTCTATTTACCCTAACAGTACTAATACCGGTTGAATCTAAAAAATTTTATTGCTACAATCCAGAAAGTGATTGTATCTCAGCTAGCCTTTATAGCATGTAGAAGTGTTAAACGACTCAATATCAGCCGATTTTTAGAAATGACTAACAATATTTCGAGAATTCGTTAATAGATGTTCAAACCTTTGTGCCATAATGAACAAAATCTTAAGGTTTGCATAATCCTAATAAAATATTGAGTTAGCCGATTTTTAAAATTGGCTCAAAATGACCTGTTTAATAACACTAATAGTCAGGGGCGTCGCTAGCCTTTACAATCTCAGGGGGCTCAACTAAAAAAAAATTTAGGGTTCGGCCCGCTTGTCCGGGTTTTATATTAATATATTATACTTTTTATAAATTTGCTAACTCTGAATAATTTTTCTGAATTTCATATTTTATCATTTATTATATTATGCATACAAATAAATAATTTTAACAATATAAGACATTTCTAAAAATATTATTTTTTTATATAAAATCTATTTATTACAGTATAAAATTTATTTTCGATTGCTGATATAAATTTTACGTCTATAAAATTACAAGTGATAAAAAAGGTTAATTAATTCATACATATGCCTCAATTGATAATGTTTTATAAAAACTACATATTATAAAATTAGCAACTTACATTGACAAAAGGAGAAGAAACTAATATAACACTCTGTTACCATTTTTAGACAATGTTTTATAGAATGGACTAATAAGGAAATAAACGACCAATCCAAATCATAAAACTATATGGTGGTTAGAGCTTCCTCTAAAATGACATAATGGAAGCTAGATAAGTAATTGAGAAAAAAATTGTGAGATATTAAATTTCTAATAGATTATCTTCCATTTTTAATTATATATACAACTACACAGTTGACCATTATTGCTTATAAAATATGCAATCATATGCTCTCAGCAGCTGTAATAATAATCTGGTTAATAAGCGGTCATAGCCATGACACTCACTATATTAACTTATATCAGAATTTATTATGCAAGATAAATTGATAAAACAAAAACGCTAAAGATCTTTAGAAAAAATTATGCAAATATATTGAAGCTTTAAGTTATTTACAAGGCAGGGATGCCATATTAGAAATGAAACATTTTGTAACTATAAAATTAGAACCAGAGTATGATATGATAAAAGAATTAATTAAGATTTTATATATTATTGTCGCACCACCTCTAGTTGGTATATTATATCTTAAAATAGTAGTAGTTTATAATATCAAAAATATACTAGTATTAAAAATTTAACTCAAAACTGTTTTTCAAATAAGAAAAAAAAATAGCTTTCCTAAAAATGCGTAAAAAAGAGAAGAAAAGTTATCTAATTTATTACATCCATTCTGGGATAAATAATAAGATGTTAAATTTTAAAAAATATTTCCAATTGTTAGATGGCGTTAAATATTTGAAAACAATTTATTACTTATATTTATTATCAAAAGCATTTATTAGTAAAATTTATTAAAATATTTACTGCAATATATTATATAACTGTCAAATACGTCTTTAAAAATGGAATTTAACCTAATCTTTTATAACCAATTATATCTAATAGAGGATTAATAACTATACGTTTACTTAAAATAAATCTCTTATACTTATTTGAATTTGGACCTTGAAAATAATTATATTAAATTTAAATATCAATAATATAGTTGATTAGTGATTTTGAACTCGACTAATTACAATATTAAATTTTTAATTTTCTATTAATATTTATTTAATTAATAAAACCGCAAATAATTTTATATAAAAAAAAAATTAGGGTTTTATAATAATTTAAATAATAAAAGTCAATAAAGTTTCAACTGTTAATGCTAAATTAATATTTAGTGAGTGATATAAATATTCTATTTTTAACACAGAATTTGATTGCAAGCTGACATAGTGAAAATATAATTTATAAATTTAATCTAATCTAATAATTAAAATAGTATTCATTTAAGAATAATTTAGATAGACTTATTAATTTTTAAATTATAAAATTAAATCTATATATTACTCTATAAAATTATAAAAGAAATCATTCAGTGGGCAATCAAAAAAATTTATTTTTAGTTCAAGGGAATATTAAGGAGGCATTAAAAATAAATTTTTCTTCAGGGGGCTATTCAAATTTTTCAGGGGGCTTGAGCCCCTGCGCCCCCCCCTAGCGACGCCACTGTTTAATAACATATATTTTGGTTTAGGCCTTGTATTTAAAAAAATTAAAAATCACTGGCAATTTTAGTGTAAAATTGAAACTAGACTGGGCCGGGCAATTCCCAAATTCCAACAGGACTTGGCCTGAAAATTTTGGCATTCGTAGAAACCCTAAAATAACCCTAATTATCATAAAAATATGAAATTAACAAGTTTGTGATTTGATTTTGTTTTTATTTAGAATTTAAGGGAGAAATTGAAATACGAGCATTAAATTAACTGAAGTACAAATCTCAGAAATCATTAAATTTATATAGCCTCACGTTACATATGTCTTAGGTTATATTTCATTTTAATATGTAGGATTATTTAATAACAAATATAAAATAACTATAGATTATATACCTTTTTTCATATTATATGATATCTTATGATTTTAAAAAAATGGGTGCTTTCGCCCCAAAGCATAGTTAGCGACTCTCCTGGCAAACTCTACTTTCCTATATCAAAATGGAAGCAATAATAAGAGTAACATAAAATTTTTCATGGGGCTAGCCCCTGCGCGACCCCCCCCCCCTCTAGCGACGCTGCTGCTAATAATATATTATTTATTATAAGACCATAAAGTTATAATAATATTTTGATTCCTTTATAATAGTTATTGCCTTGAGTTATATTTAGTTAAAGGGAAGGGTAAATAAAAATTTATTGTATTGATAATTATTCAGTTAAAAATATAATTTTAATTTGTGTATTTTAAAATTTATTGGTATTTATGATATATAATTTATTCAGTGATCCGAGCTTATAAAAATCATCTGTTTTTTTAAAAAAATTTATGTTTATGCTATGTAAAAATATTTATTCAGTTATTAGTTCTTAGAAATTCAAAATATATGGAATTCTAGTCCAATTCAGCAAGCACAATATATGAAGACCTCAAAAATAAATGGAGTCGGTGTAAACTCCAACATAAATTGTGATAATATGTGTAATTTAAAAACTCCTGTAACTGCAAACCATATTTCAAATGTAATATCTAAAACTGAATGTTCAAAACTTAATGGTTTACACCTTTCTCTCAAAAATGCAAATAATAAAAATGAAGATTATTTAGCTTTCAATGGAAGCAAAAATCATACAGGTGAAAGGGGTAATGAACAGCTTTTATTTAATAATTGTATAAATGAAAATAAATCAATAGATAATTTATATTCTATGAATGGAACTAATGATGAGGATGAAGAAACAGATGATAAATTATTCGATAATCGATATACCAATGATATCAATGTTTTATTAAGGGGAGAATCTGATAACATATTTAAAAATTATATACAAGCTATTCCAAAAATTCAAATGTACAAAGGAATATTGTTACAAGGGTTTCTGGTGCCCCAGAAACTCATAAAGGGCTTAGAAGGTTTACAAATTAGACCTGATGACATCATCATAGCCTCATATCCAAAATCAGGTTTGAATAACTAAATCATAAATTTAACTAATGGAATATTTTATAAGACTACTTCTTGTTTTATATAAAATTTGGAGGTTATATGTTATTATGATCACCATTTTATTAGTTACATATTTATGATATATTATCTTAGGCCTCAACTATATTATGCACCTCATTACAATGTGTAATATTCAAAATCAAGTAAATTATTCAACTGTGATATTGTTCAATTTAACTCAGCTAACTTTTTAGATTTATTATAAATTAGACCTTAATTACTTTTTAAGATTGTGTGATAATTATCAAACAATAATTACTAAATGTATAATTATAAAATATATTGTTTAAGCATATCATCTTTGTATAATCAAGGCCATAACAGTGGGGTGAGGACATTTATAGGTCTAGCCCTTCCATATTAATAACTCATCTCCCCAATTAATTATTGGACTGGCCTGATATTTTTAAAAAAAATTGAAAAACTTTTTTTTTATTTGTCTCAAAAGCCCTCTTGGAAATAAAAATTAAAAGAAAAAAATATATTAGTGCCTTGTTCCCTGCAGGAATTTTAAAATATGTAATTTATTTGACAAATATCATATTTAAGGGATTTAAGCCTGTCCCAGCCCAAACCCAAAGTTATATTTTAAAAATAGATCTGATCCGGCTTGAAACCCATTCAGGTAGGGGCCAGGTCTTGGTTTGCAGATCTTTACGGTATGTAATACATTTATTTTCGTGGATCCATTCTAGCTTGTATATTTATACATATCTCAACACATTTTTTTTTTAAATTTGGAAAATAATATCAAAACAAGAGGGGGATTATATTAAATATAAGGAAGATTAATTTTATAATTTAAATTTTTCTTACTCTATATTGAAAAATATTTACTAATTAAAAGAAAAAGAACACATTTTTTATTTTTATGTCTTTTCTGATTTATTATTTACCATTTAAAAATTTTGTAACTATTAAAGTTTTCAATTTGGATTTGGTATATATTTTTTTAAAAAAAACCTTGTTTTTTTAGATGACTTTATTAATTAAAATACAAAAAAAAATTATATGATTTATTATTTTATGCCTCTGTGTCTTAAATCAAATAGACACATCCCTGGTCCAAATTATTAAGAGTTTTAGCTTTGGTTCATTGAAATTTTGGAAAGATGCTTTAGAGTAGTTGACCATGATTTGGGCTCCAAACTGTTAAAAGCATCGATTTTTTTAAATCTTACTTCTAAAAACGAATTGTTTACCATTTTGAGAACAATATACATTTATAAAATTTGTGTATACTCATGTTTTGAGAGTTCCTGTAAAATTTAAATTCTTAATTTGAAGAGAAGAATATGTTTCCAAAAAGCTATCTGGAAAAATTAAAAAGGATATAATTTATTTATTTATTTTTTTAAAAAAAATTATAATTTAGATTTCTTAAAAATTATTATACCCAAAATAATAGATGTATGTCATCTAGCCTCTAGCTTCTATAAATAAAATTAAATATTTTTATTTTACATTAAAAAAATCAACATTAAAAGTGATAAATTTAGATATATTTAAAAAAAAATTCCAAAGTCCGACCCGACCCGGCCCGAATTTTTTTTAAATATTAGGCCCGGTCCAACTTGACCCGAAGCCCAATCGGGCTGGGAACGGGCCGGGCCTACTTTTACAGATCTACTATTTATATTCTATTTAAAACATATATCATTTTGTACAATATTATTAAGAATAATAATATTTAAAAAAAAAATTATTAACATCTTTATTCATCGTATTCATTCTTATTGTTTTAAAATTTAAAAATTATTTTTTTTTTATAAATTATTAAAATTTTATTTATTTTTTTTAAGGTCAAGTAATAGGAAAATATTTTTATTCTAATTTTTTTTTTTTTTTATAAAAATTAAAATTATATTATTTTTTTATCGAAATCGTTATGACATTGATACTGTTTTTTTAAGGTGTAAAAATAATTTACTGTTCATATAATACCTTCCAAAATTTCGAGTGCAGACTCGGCCTGGCCTGGCCGTATTTTAATTTTTTTTAAAAAAAAATACTTGGGTCGGGTCGGGCATATAAAATCCGGAACCGATGGTGCCGGTCTATGATTTTATATGTATATAATTTAAATCATAGACCTCTCAGACCCACTGGTCAAAATTTAAAACAAAAAATAATCCGGTTTTTTATGGTCGGGTATAATACGAAGTCATCCCGGGTTTGAAAAATTAGGCTCGATGCAGATCGCTAATTTATATACCGGTTTATATAGCTATTATATTATTTTTTTAACCATATTGCTAGTGTTGTTAAAGGGCAGCTAACTCAATATTTCATCCAGAAAGATCTTACGCCAGCCTGAAGATTTTGCTCATAGAAGGAACAAAGGTCTAGGCATACATTAACGATATCTCGAGGCTTAAAATTGGCTCAAAATGAACCGTTTAACAACACTACTTATTGCTCTTAATTATTCATATTATTTTCAATATTTTTTTTTGTTTGTGTTCGAAATTATCGTATCTTCAAATATAATGATTAGTTCTAAAAGAAAATACTCCAAGAAAATTATAACCCCCGCCCTCCTTCCTCCTTAGAAAATTCCTAGCTTGCCTGACCTGACAAAAATGATAAATCTTTACTTATTCTTGCTGCTCTCTAGAGGTTCCAAAATTATAAACTTAAACTCGGAAATCATTGTGGTACCCTGCGCCTCTAGCGATTAATTTTATTATTCGTTGCATTATATGATAAATAATTCTTGTATCTCTCTCTCTCTCTACCAGGCGTAGCTAGGTTTTTCTTAGAGGGGGTCTATGCATATAAAAGCCTTCGGCCGGGTTTATCTTACAAATCATAACCATATCTTCTATAATATATATTAAATATATTTTTTTAAATGCATCAATAATATGTTATTATAATTTAGTAGATTATTCTCAATGACTTTATAATAATACTGTCCAGAATAATTTCAATAGTAATATAATATCCTTCCACAAACATCGAAACAAGAAAAATATAAATACTAATGGTATTTATTTAATATAAAGTCACTTTTAAGTCTTTTGAACGTATAATCTAGAAAAAAAAATTTGCTCTGGAAGGGGTCCAAACCCTAAAAACACCCCCGTAGCTACGCCACTGCTCTCTACTAACACGATTGTTTGGTGTTCTTAAGAAGAATATTTTTATAAAAAAAGCATGGGAAAAAAATATAGTTATATCTTAGGTTCACATCTGGATCGGTCATCTAGAAACTTTTACAATTATCGGGCATGGTACAGGACAGTAATTCCGAACTGCGCAGCTGTTCACGAAGAAATTCCGATCCGCCAATCGGTCCCCACGGCGCCGCATCCACTTTTTTTTAAAAAAATCATAAACATTGATTTATTTAAAAAAGACAATCCTTAAAACAAAATAATATACACTTTTCGGCTTAATGACGGTCTATAAATGTTGGATATTGTAACCTAATTAATCATTTAATTTATATATATATTTTTATATATTTACATAACTTTTTATTCTTTTTGGCAGAATATGAATGCAAATAATTATTTTTTTAATTAAATCTATTTCCTATTACCAATAAATTATAAAAAATTCATAAACAAAACATGATGCCTAGGAAATTTTAAAAAAATAAAAATCGTTATTTTGGACATAACCTTATATATATATATATAATGAGTTAGCTAGAGGCACGGTGGGGTTTTATCTCCCGCTTTTACGACCGTTCATTTACCGTTAACTACTGTTTAAAAAATTGAAAAACGAGCGGAATGGCACGTTTAGGCTAAATTTAAATTGCCATAGGGTGTATTTCTTTATTTTTTTTAAAAAATAATAATTAATGTCATGTGCTTCTTCCTTGCATTCATTTTACCTCTGCCTTATATTTTAACTTTAGGGCTAGAGGTCCTTGGCAAACTTTTGAAATTTTTATAGAAAAAAATTCTCCTGCCTAAGGCAACATTTCCTTGCAAATCGGGAGGCTTAGGACTTAGATCTGCTGAAACTATTGCCTTAGTTTCTTTCATATCCTATCTTCTACAATGAAACATATCATTTCAACTTAAAATGAATAGTTTGATGCCGAAGCCTTTGCTGGACCATCAATGCATTGCCAAATACAGCTCAACCAGAGTCATCAAAGCAAAAATACTGGGATCTAGCATTGCCTTCACTTACTTCAACTTGAGCGATGATTACCAATACAAATCCCTCCTCAGGACGCTTAATATTAACAACTCCGGCCATGAATAGCCTTGATTCCTACCCCAATATCTTAAATAATCCAACTAATAGACGACGACTCTTTTCGTTATGCAATCAGTTTGCGCCTGGACGTACCATTTTTAAACCAGTACACTTGCGACAAATGTAATCAAGTCGCAGATTGTTTTGGACGTCATGCGCTCCATTGTAAATTCGTGTCAAAAATTAATCGACGCGACAAAATAAACACACTTTTTGCTACATTTCTCAATAAGAAAAATCTCCCGTGCTTTCTTGAACCCGTGTTCTGCATAGATAAAAAAAACGCCACGACCGCCAAAACTATTGTTACCTTTGTATCAGGCAAACCCCTGGTCTGGGATTTTACTTGCCTTAGACCTCCCTTGCCCCTTTTCTAATAATATGCATGTCCCTCTTGTCGGGACCGAATCATTAAAATGTCAGGAATATTCCTAACCTGATGATTGATCCACTCCCTTTTGGGGCAAAAACCGCCTTGAATCTTTTTAAAAAACCGTTTTTGAAATCCATAAAGCTACAAACTAAACCAAATATTGCTATCACAAATAATTCTGTCCAATTATTTAAATGTTTAAAAAAAATTCTTGACCTGAATCACATTAACTTAACCTTCTCCTTAAATAAATTTTTAAAAAAAATTTTGATTTAAAATAATACTTGATATTTTTTTTATGTTTTTTTAAAAAATATTTTCATGTTTTTTATGTTTTTTTTAAAAAAATTTAATATATTTTTTTCTTTTTTTTCTAAATTATTTATCATATTCTTTTAGTTTAAATTTATTTTTTTAAAAATAAAATAAATTGATTTGAAAACTGAAAAATTAGAAAATTAAAAAGAATTAAAAGCCAACGATTATTAGTAAAGTTACCAAATCGATAACCTTTATAAGGAAAAAAAAAATTTCTTTCCAACGACTGTTCATTTGTCGCAAATATTTTGTCACTTATTTATATACTTTTTATAATAGGGAATTTAATAAAAACAAAAATTATTATTTTATTTGTCCAAATTATAAAAACTATATTATTATTACGTCGAATAATATCCTTAACAAGAGCTCGTCGGTTTAGATTTAGAGTGTTCCACTCGACATTTTCAAAATTTTTGAGTTACAAGTTGGATAATAACTTATTTATATCCCCAATATATATAAAAATAAAAACTAAAAAAAAATATTAATTTTTGCAAAAGTTAAAGCTTCCGTCAAAATTGATTCAATAAACTTTTTTCCTTATATTTGAATTTTAAAACTTTAAATGTTGATTTTCTCATTTTTGAACATTTGCGCAAGTGGAGCATTCCAATTCTAGAACCGACCAACTATATGATTGGCACTTGGGCGAACGGGGTAAAAAAAATACTTTTTCAAGGATGACTTATAGTGTCTGGGGCGAGTTGGCTCAAAAATTGAATGATCTGGCATTTCCAGAAATCATGGGTGGGCAGCTTATTTTTTTTTCCTTCAAAAAACATGGACGGCTCAACGCCAGCTTCCCGGAAGAGGATTGGATTACTTCCGAGAATATGCCCCAAAAAATTAAGGGCAAGGAGCTTATACGAGGGTAAGAACCTGTGGAAGTCTTATTCAAATACACTGAGAGCGGACCGTCGTATATTTATTGCGGGTGAGGGTAGAGAATAGATGCGGATTATAAGGGGAAAATAGGAAGCAAAAAACTCAAAATTTTTAAATCCTTCAACCTTAAAATTCTCTTTTCACCAGCTAAATTAAAATATCACTATACCTGGCACTTCCCCCCGATAGACAGCTGGCGGCTAATCCCAAAATCAATGATGCACATTGATCATCTCCAGACTTTGAGCCTCAATTTTGCAACCTATACCCTGGAGATCAGAATGGCAAGTTATCGCCGATATTAACTTATTATTATCGCTTAAAGCGTATCTTAACGAATTGGCTCCTAGAAAACCGTTATTTTGTATTGGCTTACACACCTCGATAGTTTATTTATTGAATCACTATATTTTTTTAACCCTCTAAAAAATATCGGCTAAACCCAAGTTTTTTAGCCCGAAAACTCAGCATTTTGGTATAGAGGTTTTTCTTGGAAGAAACTACTATAAATTAGGACGCCTCCATGTTTATCGGATTTTCTCCGACAAGCGCCTGGCCAATTACCCAACTATAGAGTAGCAACTGAGAGCCATTTATTCTTTATGGATTCTTAAAATGGCTCCCCCCCCCATCTCTTTCGAAAAATTCTTGTCCCTAATCTTTCACGTAAACATATTTGCGAATTATATATTTTTTTTTAAATATAATTCATCGTGAAATATTTTTTATTTAAAAAAAAAAATGTTACCCGAACAAATTTTCGCATTTAATTATTTTCAATCGACAGATGAATTTAAAAATGAAAAGATATATTACATAAAAATCCCCCTTTTTTTTTTATAATATAATATAATAAATAAAATAATATTAAATCTTTGTAATTTATGACATTTTTTTAAAAAAAATATAAAAAGAAAGAAAAAAATATGAAAAGAAAGAAAGAATGGCTTTGTTTTTTTTATCTCGCCACGGCTCGTTTCGAGCCTATAAAAAAATATTGCTTAAGTCTCGAGATTTTGATAACAAGATTTCGTTGATTGATGTCCAAAACCTTTCAGCGTATCTATGGGCGGCAAGATATCCAGGGATTGCGTAATATTTTGGGGTGAAATTATCGGGCTAGTCGTTTTTTTTAAAATGGCGACCTTTCCTTTTTTCATTCGAATCAATCCGCGTTTCTTAAGGAGAGGGGACGAGGGGGGAAGGCTAATCATATCCTTTTTGGCCTCATAATATCAATACATAATATTGTATTTTTTACAATGACATATAATAATAACTAGACAGACGATGCATTCATTAAAAGTGTACATCGAATGAAAACAGCTGAGGACGCCATTTTGATTACCCGGGCCAATTTATTCCCATGTCCGACACAAACTTCATTAAAGAAATTGCCAGATCATCTAGATAATAAGGAAAGCAAGTTATCAATTTAATAGTAGTTTTTAACATGAGAATAATTACCTATATCGGTTACTAAAAATGGCCGGTCCAGCTGATTTGCATTCAACGACGCCTTCAAATGCAATGCGTCGTCAGTCTCGGTATTAATATATGTCATTGATTCTCTATCGAGAATAATATCTTACCTTAAGTTTTTTAACCTGATAGATCCCTAAATGTACCCGGGACAAAACATTTTTTTTTATTCATCATTTTGGTAAGAGATTGAAAAAAAATATATATAACTTTTTTTTTTGTGGAGATATATTTTGCCCAAAACTTTGATCTTGAAAATCTTTGAAGATCACAAAAATTTGAAAAATCTTACGAAACAAGATTTGGAATTTTGATCCGAAAACATGTCGGACCATTCTCTAGAAAAATCTTCAGAGATTTAAGATTTCTGCATTTCAAAAAAAAAATCATCTCTAACTGTATTATTATATACGATACTATATTATTACAATATGGAGGGGGAAGGGGTGGGGGTGGAGTCCAATTTTATTATCCCCCCCCCCTTTTTGTTTTTTTTAATGATTTTTTGTTTTTTTTAATGATTTTTTGTTTATTTTGTTGACATAACAAAAAAAATAATAATGATATCCATCTTAACAATCACAATAAATTTAATTTTTGGGGGTGCTGGCTGAATACGACTTGTTCGCTTCGCAGCTGATTTCCGTTAACGTTCCTTTCCTTATAAACGATATCCGGGATAGGAATCAACTGAACATCTTGGCCTTTATGGCTTTGATCACCTTTTTTTTTTGATTATTCATTTGATGTTTCTCAGCTCTAATTCTCACATTAGGATTCGAAAATTTATTGCAATTTTTAAATCATCACTAAGGCCATCTGTTATGACTGGAGGATGTTCTAGCATATAATATATGTAACGTTGTAAGATAACCTATCCCATGAATCTCAAACAATAATTAAGGCTAATTCAAAAGTTCACGGCAACGCTGATCTAAAATCATGGGATTTGGGATATTCTAAATTCCTCGCGGTATTCCGGAAAAAAATGTGCGGCATATCGCTGCTTTATTATTATAAGGTTCTAACTCCACCCTTGTTTCAAAATTCGGTTAGGGTCTAAATATTATTCTAAAGACTCCTCCACCCCCGTTACATTTTTTTTAAAAAAAACTGCGAATATTAATAAGGGTTCTAGTCTGTTTGACCAATCATAAATTTATTTTTTTCTATCACGTGATAATGTAACATATGATTAATATTTTTTTTAGGTACTACGTGGACCGAGGAAATCGTCTCTATCCTTTACAACAACGGGAATCTGGAGAAGATAAAATCGAAAAATTTGATAGATCGCGTCATCCACTTGGAAGTGGGCCGGCCCCTATTCCCTTTGACCTTCCTCAACAACCTTAAGTCTCCTAGGCTCCTGGCTACGCACTTGCCTTTCCATCTGTTGCCGGCGCAAGTCAGGGACCTTAAATGCAAAGTTCAATAATTAACCATTCATTCATTTAATCTGTAGTGGGAGTGGGAGTGGTGGTAATGATGATATATCTGGCTAACTTTTTCCTTACTCTAATCTCTTCGGAGGTTGGGTTTTTTTTAAGAAAATAAACTGTCCCGTCAGGGATCGAACTTGGTCCCATCAATATTGGAATCATTATTTTAAATTCTGTATTTATTTATTTTAATTTTTTAGTAAAATCTTTAATTGAATGACAATCATTTAGCCTAAAAATAGCACTTTTATTTACCTGCACCTCTTAGTATGTATACAAAATTTCACTCAAATCCTTTTTTTGAAACGATTTGACATGTGGATTGATTCGTATAATATACTTATACCTAGACTGAAGCTTCATTCATTTAAATAGGTAATCAATACAAATCAACGGGAAATCTAAATGCTCTGTTATCAGCTGATTCAATTGATTTGCACATCTAAATGAATGATGAACCTGCAGTTTGAGTATCATTAATATAAAAGGATATATATCAGCAACTATTGAAATAAAGAGAAAATTTACCCGTCAAAAAAAAAATTTACGACGTTATCCAATATTAACACATTTTTAAAATTAACCAATGACCTCTGATCTTACTACTCATATTTTTAGAAGGTCTTATTTAATAGAGGATTCCCAGAATTCAAATGGCTTTCCTGGAAATTCGGCTCATTTCCCTGTCCTTTACATTTCTAACTAGTAAAAATGCGCCGAGGACCATTCAAAGGGTTGCATTGATTGGCTAGTCTTACTTTTTCGCAACCTTTCCTTCCTTCATATGTCTACTTTGTGAAAAAAACCCCGCTAAGGTGACATAATCATGTATATGCACGCGCATGCGCGATCATTTTACTTAATTTGATTTTAAGAAAAATTGGAAAGCGGAAGTTTTTTTTTTATTTTATATTTACAAATATAGAAATAAGAAAAGAAGAAGAAAAAACTTATTACGAGAAATTATGTAACCATATTTTATACCTCGAAGTTGGGACGTTTAATTTGTATTTGGAGCTTTTCTATTCTTCTCAATCTTATTCTTTATTTATTTATTCTTTTCTATTCTATTATTCATTTATTTATTTATTTTTTTTAAATTCTATTTTTTATGTTAAAATTCATATACAAATATGATAAAATATTATTATTTAAAAATTAACATTATGATATAGATAATATAATTAAATATGTCATATATCAGTTTCAAATGGCGAGGTCGGGCCATGATGTTTTAAATATTTGATAATTAGATCTAATTATAGATGCGACGATTTTCTGCTTGAGTTTGTAAAATGGAGAAAAGTATGATTTTTTTATATAGATTTGGATATTATTTTGAATAGATCTAAAGCCGCTTGTCCAAAAGAGCAGGTTGATGTAGCTGCTATGGGAACAAAGTGGTTATCACACATTAGGTGTGAGTATTTTATATTTTTTAGAGATTCGGCTCTGTTAAGGGGATCATGGGAATTATTAGATGGAGCCATGGGATCAATGCAGGTAAACCCATGAAAAAAGGTAACGACGGTTTTGCCGTAGGGTCTAAAATACAGGGAAAATTGGCTTTATTCAAAAAAGAAGCTATTATTGCATTTATTTTATCATGTCGGCTGATTTTTGGTATAAATTTACAGTGGAAACCGTGTCTCCCATACGCGTCTGCCGAGTGATGGCATTTAATGCAAATATAATGGTTTAGGAAAAGTACGCCCAAGCGTAAATTGATTGCATAACGGAAAGCGTCGTCATCTATTAGCTGGTTATTTAAAATGCTGGGATATGAATCTAACCATTCATGGCCAAAATTGAAATTAAGAGATCTTAGGAGGGATTTATATTGGTGATCATCGCTCAAGTTGAGGTAAGTAAGCTAAGGAACGAGATACCAATCCTTGATCCCAATCTTTTTGTCTCGTTGAATCTGGTGGGGCTATGTTTGCTAAGACATTAATATTCCAGCAACGTAAGGCTTCATCTAATAAATTATCTTTATCGATGGTAATAATTTGCGAGATAATATTTTTTACTGATAAGGTTGATGGGATGAAGGAAACAAGGGCTATACTTAATGCCTATCTTAGGCATAGTCCTCCGGATTTACAAGGGAGAGTTGCTTGAAGCCATGAGTTAGAATCGAGTTTGATGTTTAATAACTCTGTCATCATTTGTAGTATCTTTTGTTCATATTCTTTTAAAAGAATTTCGAAAGAGAAGGCACCAGAAGTTTTTAAACAATACTGGATTTGTGGTATTAAAAGGTTGTTGTAGTTTATAACTATTTTCCTGGTAGCATCATTTTTTATTTTAGATTGTTTTTATTTGGGACCATTTCTTCAATCCAGAATCGTCCAGATATAATCAACAAACACTTTGATGAACTTAATTTATCCTTAAATATAAATAAATGCGAAATTTATCCTTCTCCTCCTCCAACAGACACCATATTAGATAACTTTAGACGGACACCCTTACAAGATTTCAGTATATTAGTAGAAGCCCCATTGGGAGGTGCAGAGGGGAGTTTTTAATTTTTTAAATAATCACCTTCAATCTATTCATTTATTTTCTATTCCTTATTTTATTTTAATCATTTCTTTATTTTATTTTTCTTCATTTATTTTCTATTCTTCATTTATTTTTATTCAATTCTTTTCTATTTATTTTATTCTTATTTTTATTTTCCTTCATAAATTTTCGTGATAATTTATTCTAATATTTTTAAAATTGAATATAAAACAAAAAAATATGTATAAAGATATTTTAGCTATAGGGCAAAAAAAAATATGTAAAATACAACTTATAATATTATTTTTTAATTTTATCAAATTCATCTTAAAATTTTAAAAATAAAATCTGAGACAAAATTTTATGTAGCGAAATGTAACAAAAAAAAATCCCCCCAAAAAATTAATCCACTAGGTTATTTCCGGTTTTTTAATTTTTTTGACATAAGGGGCGGGTCTATTAATAGAGTCAAAAACATTTTTAGTGCATGTCGTGATAGTTTTTACCCTGTCCGGTCCAATTCTTGCCCGAAAAATGTTTCAGCTCGGTCAGCTGGCCGGGGCCGTTTCGACCTCTATAACAAATGGAATCATTTTGACGTTGGATTCGCAAGCCAAAATAGGACAACTTATTTTGTAAGCGTATCAGTACGCGCAATTTGAGCCTTTCATAACGCTGCTTCGCCAACGCAAAATGATGCGCTTCAAATGTCAATCAAATTAGTGCTTGAAGTATAGAAACCATTTTCAAAATCGGATGAGAAAATTTATAGTAAACGTGTTTTGTTCAAGCGGTGCGGTATTTAACGCGTTGCGTTATTTACAAAATCAAGCCAATAGATAGATATAATTTACAAATATGAGAGCCAAATGAATATGTTTATGACATAATTTTAAAAACATGTTGCTAATATTTCAGATCTGCGGAGAATCAGCTGTAATTTCTATAGCGGGTCGGGTTTAAAACCGTCGAAAATTAAAAAACTGGTCCTGGTCGATATTTAAATTTTAAAAAAAATTATAACCAATTAAATCAGTGGAAAAATATTCGAAATTCTTATAATTGGCGCCTTTATTATTTTATTTATTGCTCATATTTTGATTTCCTCCCTTTCAAATAATTTTCCAAAATGCCGCCGAAAGAATTCAAAATGGCGGAATTTTATAAAATTAAAATCTGGGCCGTAAAATGATCAAAAATAAAAACTGGAACTGGTTCGGGCTTAAAAGTGAATTCTTTTTCTGGCGCATAAAATTTAGATCCTCTGCAGATATCTTGTAAAGAGCGATTACGTATTTATTTGAAGGGAACAATTTTTGATATTTATTAGACCCTAACAGACAGATCTTAAACCTATCTTTAGAACTTTCAATGTATTACTTAGTAAAGGATGTTACTAAGAGTGAGAAATTCAAAATGGTTAACTAACTGACAAATCCCAAAATGATATATCACAGGTCAAGATCTCGAAGAAAATGGCAGATAATAAATATAAAGAAAATGTCGACCAGTCCTTCCCCCCTCCCTATATTGTATTTACTAACCCCGTGACACACATGACGAACCTTTTCTGGAATCGATTAGCCATTTTATTTTTAATTATGGATATATATCACAATAATACATATGTATATATATATATATATAGACTTCGTAATATTTTAAAATCTGTATCAGGCGATCAACGTCAATCATTAACAATTTTAGTTAGCATGAGTTATTTTTTGGCGTTGTTAAACTACTCAACTTACTCAGCCGTTTAACAACACTACTAATTATTACGTATAAACCTATACTCACCCCCCTAACTCTCAAAAAATGGCCGATCACGTAATGTTTAGACCTTCGAATTACAAGTAGGCCCCTTGCCCTCAAAATGGTGGATGGCCCATTTATACATCAAACTAAAAATACGCGTTATTGATAAACAAAACCTAATAATAAATATTCTGGCGCGGAAATTAATGGTCGTGTAGTAATGACTATTATTAAATTTAATTTTTTTACTTTTAAAAAACTAAAGCTAATAAATTATTGATGTTCAATTAGAATTCACTTAAATTTTTATTAATTTTATTCAGTCTGGAAACAAGTTGCATATTTTTTTTCAAAAAAAATTCAATAATTGATAAGTAAGAATAGATGGAGCTGGCCTAGACAGTTTTGCCATTTTTTTTTGTATCGATTTTTTTGCTACGATATTTCCGGTATCTTGAAATGAATTACGCAATCGATTTAAATCAAATTATAAAAATTTAAGGCTTTCCGCCATTCCTTCTCTTCTCTTCTATTCTTTTTTTTTACTTTACTTATCGTGACCGATTATCTACTTAGAATTTAAACTATCCAAATACAAACAAACAGTTTCTGAATCTAGCAGCAGAAGTTAGAGTTTTTTTAGAAATCCGAATCTGGTAGCGGAAGTTAGGGTCTTTAGAAATCCGAATCTGTCAGTAGAAGTTGGGGTCTTTAGCAATTTACGTCTCTTAGCAGAAGTAAATTAGGCGCGGGAGTTTAGTTTCTGATAAAAATATAGAGATTTTTTGAATCCAATCTTTAACAGATTCGCCCTAATGAGGAATAATTTGGAAAAAAATATTCAGGGTTCAAAATCCCTTGAGGATTTATTTTTTTTGAGAAGCATTTCAAACTATGACTTTTATTTGTTACATTTTAATTTAAATATTATAAGATGTGATGGCGGGAAAGATTTTGTACAAAAAATTTTAGCGGACCTAGGTCGGGTTTTTCGTAAAACTTTAACTGACCGCGAAAATTCTTAACGGGTCGGGAGTTACCGACTTTTAATCGAGATTATATCGATTGACAAAAATAATCTTCAGCGGCCGGGACATTATTTAGTAGATGAAAATATTATTTTTATTAAAAACGGTATAATTAATGTCAGGAGAGGAGCCAGAAAGAATTCCGATATTCAAATCGATCATTATCGGATTTATCCTATTGGCCAGGCTAGCGGATCGATTTATTCATAACTTATATCAAAACGATCTTGTTATTTGAGCGGAAATGGCATTCATTTCCTACTGCCCACCGTTGTTAAAGAGGGAACTGCCATATAGTCGCGTTTGCTAGAGGTAGTTCTATAAAGACCAAATAAAAAAAAATCAGGTTCTTATCTCATTTGAATTTATATATAACTTATTCGATAGAAAATTATCGGTGGTATGAACACTTATTTTCTATGTTGCGAATCTAGAGGAAAAATGGCACTTCTGGAAAGATTTTATTCTTCTGCAAAACCAAGATCAGGAGTCCAATAAAAAATATTCTTGCCGTGATTCCTGCTTATCAAAGAAAAAAGCTGAAAAAATTGGGTTATATATTTTTGGTTCCATAATGTATCAAAGTTGAACAAGCTTCATTTTTTAAAATTGAAAGAGTGTTTGCTCATCAAAATATAATTGGATATTGTTGTGATTGACGTTGGAATGTTGAGAGCTGTCAATCAAAATTATTATACTTTTTTTTTGTATATATCGTAATATTGTAATCGAGTATTCTGTAATTTTGAAAGATTAACATATAATAAACAATCAAATAAATACGGATCGCAACAGATATATAATTAGGTCTACCATGAAAATTATATTTTGCTTAGAACTTTGCTGTTAATTGGGATAGATTCTAAATCTCTAAGTATTGGAAACATTTCTTATATATATATATATATATATATTTATTTAAAAAAAATTTTAAAAGCAATGCTGAAAAAATAATATTAATAGATGATGCTTCAGGTAAGTTAATTATTACTTATATTTCAAATTAACTTTTATTTTAAGATCAATGGTACTGGCTGCTACTTCACAAACGATTTTTTTTTATAAAAGTAGTCTGCTTCTCAGATTTAAAATTTAGAAAACAAAATGGTAATTTAGTTATATTTTTGTCAGCCAAAGCAGACTATTTAAAAAAAAAAATTTTTTTTTTGTAATGTAATATTTCTCAACATTAATATTAATAACTTCCTTTTCAACACTAATGTTAACGCTCAAATTTATTTATTTAAAACTAATGTAATCATTATATTTATATTTTTTATAAATTTTCCAATAAATAAGAAATTCCACTAAAATTTTCAATTACTTTTTATTTGAATGCCAATTTAAACACATTACTGTAACATTTTTTTCCCGATCTCACAAAAACTTCCATAGTCAAGTGAATAAAATTTGAATATCAAAAATCCCATCATTCTATTTGTTAACTTTATATATTCTCAATATATGTAAAATAACTCCAATTTCCATACATATCATATTATATATAACAAAATGAATTTAACTTGCGCACAACAAATGAGTCTGTTTTCATATGATCACTGTCATATTCTCTAATCCATGGTGATTGACAATCTCTTGATGTCTTACATGCATATCATGTAATATTGTCATATATTTAATCTTAAACATTATTTGATTCACGTTGGATATTATATATTGTAAAAATACACAATTACAACTATACGGATATTCCCTTCCTTTTGCGATTTTTCACCTTTCCTTTTTTTTTCTCCTTCGTCTTTCCTTTCGAGATTACAAGTGGAAGAGGACTATTTTACTAAAGAAGGATAGGAAATCAAGAACAGAACAGTCCATATAGCAGTGGGACATGGAAATCAAGGAGGATTACGACATGCGCAAGGAAAAAGGCCCGATGCTGTAGCGCGGGAATAGTAAAAATCCGAGGATAGATGAAAAAAAGAGGCATAAAATCAGGGAACAATCACGAAAACTATAATATGGAAACGAAGCGAAAGAGATGGGAGAAAGGAAAGACGAAGGGAAAAGGTGAGAGTGTGGGGGGGGGGGGGGTTAGGAGGGTAAACAATATATTGATTAATTTAAGTTATTAGATATTAAACTCGATATTCCGAACCGATTAATTTAATAAAACGATTTTTAATATTATCGGTAAAAGGGTAAATAAAAAATAAATGATTAAATTATATGGTTAATGATGCTTACTACAAAGTCAACGAATAGCAATTTTCTAATTACCAACCAATTTGCTAATTACCGACCAAAATTTATTAAAATGTAATTAGACCCTTATTATTTAATATATTATAACGGAATCACGTGGTCGAGTCTTGCCTCCTATGTGTCATCCGCACAAGGATGGAACCACCGCTTTAGATTAAGAAAAAAAACATGATCATTGCCGGTATTCGAACCCATTACCATCGGATAGGTAGGCTACGCTCTTGCCGACTAAGCCACTGAGGCTTTCCCAAAAATCACGATTTTTCGAATATATATTATAAATAAATTTGGTAGTGCCTATCCACATGAAAAATAAACAAAACACAAATTTGATAGGTAATACCTTGAGGTAAACATGCATCATTAACCCAAATTATATCTTTCAGTATCTCGGCCAATTTTAAAAGATATGTAACGTACTCACAAGTTGAACCACCAGCTGATTTATACTAACGGATCATAATAACCAAAAAAATAATTTATATTCTTATTTTTTTTAAAAAAAAAGATTATATACGTTGCTCGAAATCCGAAGGATAACGCGGTTTCCTACTTCCATCATCATAAGATCGCTTCCTTCCTCGGTAATTACAAAGGCAGTTGGGACGAATTTCTGCACTTGTTCTCCCACGGGAAACGTAAAATATAACCAATCATTTTTGATTATTTTGTGTTATTTTTAAGACTCATCTTAATAACGTTTTTTTTACAATTAAAAATACATAGAACTGACTCATTTTTAAATGCGTATCGATACTAATCAGCTGGTGTGGCGCGCCATTTAACGATTTACGCACTAAAGTAAAAAGTGGGAAAACAAAATGGCGCATCATCAGCTGATTTCTATCCAACGACACTCTTCGAGACGTACTTTAAATGAATAAATTATCAGTATAGGCAATTATTATAATGTCGTCGTAGGAATGAAGCAATTTTCTCTTTTGATTACATAAAATTGGCGTAGGTGAATGGTAGATAGAACCATGTTTTTATAACTTCCAAGGTTTCGAAATAATCGTTACGGCTATAAATAATGCCGCTATAGATAGAACACTCTAATTTTAAAGCAATAGTGTCGTTAGAATGTAGGCTACAATGGTAATTTAGTAACTTTTGCAAATTTATTTTGAAACGTTTTGATTGGTTAAGGGTCAATAGTCCAATCAAGTTTTTGTCTTCGTATCAGGTCTTTCAAATTATACGCGCGGTCAGGACCGCGACCTTTAGTTATGACCGCAAAAATTTTAAAACGGTCTAAAAAATAATAAAAGTTAACCTCCATAAACATACCCTATACCTAATCATTTCCATACATTATTTTACTTTTTATTCTCTTCTCATTAATGGGTTTTTAGATATATTTTTTTTAAAAAATCAATAAAATTATCTGTTTATATTTATGCTACACCCTTTCCTTAAACTTCAAGTTGTTTACGGCTCCTGGTTTCATCACGTGGCTAAGTATTGGGAGGAATCCATCAATAACCCCGACAAAATACTGTTCCTCAAATACGAAGATATGAAGAGAGTACGGGCCACTGATAATAATTCTAATAAATTTTATCGATAAAATTCATTTTATACATTTAAAATTAGACATGCTCAAAATTAGGGGGTTCGAACCAAAAACAAATTTGTTTTTAGTTGGATCAATATGAGCTTCTAGTAAGGGGCTATAATAATGTATCGTATTACGCTCGTTAAGCTTCGGTTTTAATTGAAAAGATTTTCGGGTCGGGTTAGATGTTCAATGATTTTTTTTTTTATCATTACCGGCGGCTAAAAAACCGAGCCGGGCTCTTGTGCCGATTCGACCCGTGCTGATAGTTTAAACAACAACAAACAAATTTTTAGGACTTAGAAAAAGAGGTCAGGAAGATTCTGGGATTCCTTAACATGGAGATAACTCCCGAAAGATTAAACCTGCTCATAGATCACTGTTCCTTTGAGAGCATGAAGAACAATAACATGGTGAACAGGGAGGTGTTGCCTATCAAGGTCTTCGATTTTTCTCATACCAAGTTTATGAGAAAAGGTATAATTATTAATTTTTTTAAAAAAAAATGCATATATACTTTCCAATAAAAATCTTTAACTGATCTAAAACCATTTTTTTTGATACGGACCAGAAGCCATTTTTTTATTGAATTTTGCTTTCTACATTTCGATATTATAGTGTTTTTGCAAACTGCATTTTCGATTATTATATTCTTTTTAAAAATGCTCTCCAGAAATCACAAATCTAAACTAAACCGGAAGTAATCATTATTATTTCCTGATCATAAACTCTATAAAATAAAAAGTAAGCGAACTGATTTGAACCTTTAGGACTCTTTAACAATGATTGATACACGGTTTTGATTGGTTGATAAGGTATTATTAGTAACTATTTTTTTTGACGACGATGTCAGTTACCCAAGTTAAAAAGTTATTCCTTCTTATAATTTTACGGGACAGAACCTTGGGAATTTTTTAAATAAAAACGATTTTAAGTTCGTAAAAATGTTCGAAGTTCGAATCGATCCCGGTTTTAAAGGTGGAACCCGAGCCGTTTGAATTCGTGCCCGAAACGCTAACAATACTCGGCCGACGAGCTGTCAATCAATCTTAAATATATTTTGTTACGAGCCGGCAGAGTTTATTAATTTTTTTTTAACGTAAATATTATCAAAGGGATCATCGGGGACTGGAAAAATTATTTCGACGAAACGCAGAACGTAGAATTCGAACGAATATACCAACAAAAAATGAAGAAAATCAAAAACAATCTAACTTTCGACTTCGAACCTTAAAAGGGGGGAAAATGAGAAATTTAAAAGCTGGGGGTGAAAAAAAATTTTTTTTACTCCCCAAACCAAATTGTAATTTATAAGAGTATCCATTTTTACCTTTTTGCGTGCTTAAATATTTATCGTTAAAAAATATATATATCCCCCCCCCCTTTTTTTTAAAGCAAAAAGTTGCATACATTATATAATTTGATTCGCCATTAAGACAGACAGACAAATAATACTACTTGTTATTTTTTTTCTTCAAATATATTACAAGTTAAATTAATACGATTTTTTTTGTGTTAAACATTTCCAAATATATTTTTATAAAATTGTATATAAATTTTGCTATTATTGTTATTTGGCAAAGTTTAAACAATTTTTCATAAGAATATTGTCGTTACAAAATATTTATATATATGGGAAATGTTTTACGATACAAAAATCATATTAATGTAGTATGTACAATATATATAGGAAAATTAAATAGTTTTTATTTTTGTATCTATTAATTTAAAAAAAAATTGAAATTGATTAGATTTAGTTTCGAAAATATCGGAATTAATTTTTTTTTTAAATCTTGTAAAGATTATTCATACCCCGAGGAGTAAAATGACCCTCTTTTTTTTAAAAAAAAACAAATTATTATTTTTTTTTATATAAATTATGACATTTTTTTTAAAAAAAAAAATAATAATATCTTGTATTTAATTTCTAAATGTGCTTCTTTTTTAAAAAAATTTGTAAGAAAATATGTTTTTTATTTTTTTAAAAAACACCTAAATATAAATATTGTTTTTTTTTGTGTGTATGTGAGTCCTTCGTTTATATTTACTTTTAATCTAAAAAAACATATAATATTCATTGGTTTACTACTTAATACGCGTGTAAAATGATTGAGCTAAAGAATACATTTTTATTGTAATTTTGTAAAGTATTTATATATATAAAAAAAATTTTTTTATGTAATAAATACAAATAATAAAAAAAAAATCATTATATTCAAAATAACTAACATATTACAGCAAAAAATTCATTTATTTATATTTCCTTCCTACTCACAATTTAATTATCTATTTTACAAATATATTCTCGTTCTTAAACAAAATTTTTAATAAACGAATAAAACGTGTTGGTCATCATCAATTGAGTGGATATGACTGAGGGAGTGGAGGGGGGGAGGGGTGAATGATAATTTTGGTGATTGAATATTAACATGGAGAGGTAACTATGGACATAAATTTATCATATACTACGAAAAAAACTGATTAATTCTGGAACATGAATATTTTTATGAATCGTTCAAACGAGAAAAAATGGATTTTTCGGGTTCAATGAAGGAAGGACTGTGTTTAAGGCTGAGCGCCGATGCTGAAGCGGTTAGTTTACCGGTTACGCCTCTGGCAGCTTGAACCAATATGTTGCTGGAGGCATTTGGTAAGGATAAGAGAGGGTTAGTAGAACCTAGCCCAACTATGCCTAAAGTTTGGGACGTTGATCCGGCCACATTTTCTGGCATGATCTCGAGGAGGATCTAAAAAAATTTTTTTTAAAGAAATCTATTCAATTTTAATTACGCATTAGAATGATCATTTCAAGTTTCTTGGAGTCAATAAGTGTCCAAAGTAAAGTTTGTTATTATTTTTCAGAAATAGGTTCTAACTGCGACGGTTCTCGTGCTAAACTCTCGTATCAAATTTTTACTATATCTCGTAAATTTTATTATGGATTCTAACTCAGGTCTCTAAATTTTAATGGACGGTTCTATACTCTGGATAACTTGATTTCATATCACTGCACAGAATATTTATTGTAAATGATTACTTACAGATCCCGAAAATACAAGATGGGGCTCTCATATGGTTGCTAACTTTTTTAGACAAGTACATTTTATTTTTTTTTAAAAAGGCAAATACCTAAAAAAAGGATTTGGGGGCATTGTGTAATGTAATTGCACACTGAATAATACGACTTTGCTTTCATCTAAAAAAGTGTTTATAATATCTCACATTTTTTATATCCGGTTTAGATAAATCACCTCTAATACTAAGTATCTGGCATAGATTATCGTAGCTGACATCCTTGAACTTGGCCAGGAGACCCGAGATTTCTAGGGTAAGTAGGGTGGTATCCTTCATCTTCAAGATTTCGGCTATAACTATCAAACAAGTAGCGTTGTTTTGCGTGGGGGCGGAGGACTCCAGTTTGGTCATGTCCAAAGGTGAAGTAATAGAAGAAGAGGTCTTGTAATGTTTGATCAGATCTGGATCCGTTAGGCTTAATATCTTGATAGGCTGATTGGAAAAAAAAAATATTCTCTTAAAATCATCTTTTTGAAAATTTTGATTACTTAATAGATGGGAGTTAAAATAATGAAACGTTCCACAAGGAACAAGTGTGAATTGGGAAATAATTTCAAAATTATTTACCGATTGCGAAAAAAAATAATACTATTTTGAAGAATAAATTTTTTTTTAAAATAATCATATTCGTTTTAGGTATGATATCAAAGATAGAGAATGCAATATTCAAGCGATTAATCGTCTTTATTTGATATAAAAACCAGTTTAACAGTACTTAACAAGATAAATCAAATATTACAGAATTAATTCTTAGTTATATATAATTAATAATTTTGATTTCTCATATTCTATTGATTAATCATTTTTATCTTCCATTTTAAAAAAAACATTAATCGAAATGGGAGAAATTTATATTATTTTTTAAAAAAAACTCATAATTTTTTGGTTGGCTTTTTATTCCCCCAAATTTCAAAAAAATTCCTAAATATAATTGTCATAATTTATAAAAAACAAATTTTTAAAAAAAATATAAATTAAAACTTTGCTTCGCAGTTCGTTGAAAAAATTTATAAGGTTAGCCGCTTCGTTACTCAACTTTTCGCACGCCTCCTTGCGTTCCTCGAAAGATTTGAAAACGTATCTCCTGAAAGGTGTCGTATGTCATAACAAAAAATATATATGTATGGTGATAAAATTAACGAAAAAATGCAAAGGAAACATCATTTAGCTCATTCCATTGATCAGGATTATTCCGATACATTTTATAGGATCGGGCCGGTTTTTCGTCGGTTTAAAAAATCGATTATCGGCCGATATTATAAAAAAAATTCCGATCCGATAAATTGGCGTCTTAATTAAAAAAAAAATTTTTTTCATTAGCTTAAAGTTATTCAATAAAAATATTTCATACAACTTTTTAAATTCGTGAATATATACTATATAACTGATCATTTTAAAAGAATTTAAATAACTTATGTTATGGTAATAATAGCTAAAATATAAATTGTGTGTACTATGAAAATGTATAGGAAGATGTATGCATTAAAAAAAATTAAAAAGATACGTTTGTTTTACAGAATACTAAATCATTTAATATCCGATCGGCCACTAAAAAAGTGATATCGGTTACATTCCTATTTCTTAGCATTTTAAGAAGGATTAGATTCCATTCCTTGTTAAGGGATTTGAAAGGAATGGCCTACGGTCTGGAAATATATCATTTAAATAAAGATATCAAAAAAATATATATGAAAGCAAGAGAATGTATCGTAATCATTCCCGATACTCCGTTTTCAAAAAAAAAAGTCTTTTGACTCAGTGTCATCTCTTAAAACAGAGTTGTTAAAAGGGTACTTTTCAAATAGATCCAGATTATAAATGTATCTGTTGTATGCAGATATAATTTTTATTATTCTTATATGTAGGGATTTGCCTTTGTTATTATTAGAGCAAAATTTATATAGGTAAATAATCATTTTTATATTTTTTTTTTCTCATTCAATTCGAGCACCATATAAAAGATATGCCAATACTCCTATTTTTATCGTTCTTTCCAACAAATTCTCATTTTAAACGAGCATTTATTTTTTAAAAAAAAATTTATAATTTATTCATTAAAAAGGTCAAGTGGGGAATATCTGTAAGATTAATTTTGAAAAAATTCTAAATTTATTTTGGTTTAAAATCATTTTGTGCGTCAAATCACAAATAGTATCGTTTTTAATCCTTCAACAATCTTTGAACCAGTATCGTTAAAAGGCTCGTTTTGAGCCGATTTTTAAAAACGGCTAACTCAATATTTTAGCCAGAAAAATTTTTGCCTCTAAGCCTCGAGATTATCTAGACCTTCGTTACTTCTACGAGCAAAATCTTCAGACTTGCATTTTTCTGGATGAAATATTGAGTTAGCCGTTCAAACAACACTACTTTTGAAACTGATATTTTTAGACTTTTTAAAGGGAAAAATAAAAATAATATTTATTTTATAAGTTTTTATATATATTATTTTTGGTCTCTTAATATTTATGTTTTTTAAATATAATATTTATTTAAATGAGTTAAATTATTAACAAACTCTGTCTCAAAATGAGCAGAACTTTAGCAACCGGGTTAATTACAAAAATCTCCATGGGTGAAATTCAATTATTTTATTTATTTTTTTTTGTAATAATAACTTGGCGATCATTCCTTTAAGATATTCGAGTACGACCCTATTCTCCGCTTCCATCACGATCCTGACAAAGTAACGAGGCTTAAGGTGCACGTAATCTTGGGCGTAATCGTCTATAGTGGCTCTTATAACCCCGTCCAAATTTTTGTCGGTCAGCCTTTTTCCCCCCATTTTTTTTAAAATTTATATTTAAATCACCTTTTGAAATAAAAAGATCTTCAACACAAGCAATAATCAAAAATAATTTTTTTTTTATATAAAACCCGTTAATTCCCTCATCTTAGCGTTAAAGTGTCATTTTTTTACCGGAAATTGAACTTTAAATCATTTTTTGGGCGCGTTTTTAAAATATTTAAAAATCTGATTTTACCGGAAATGCAGGCCGTTCATGTTTGGAATACCTGCCCTACGAATTTCTGGCAATTTTTCCACGAACTTTTTAAGCTTAATAGGATTTATATTAAATTTTTTCCATATATTTTTATTTTATATAATTTATAAATGACTCAAGGGTTATCGGCAAAAATTATCTACAATTTATTATGATAAGTATTCCAAACATAATGGAATCTTATTTCCGGTAAAATCTGGTTCTTAAACATTAAAAAAAAATGCTCAAAAAAAATGATTTTTTCCGGAAAAAAAACACATTGAAGCTAACATAAATATAATGATTTCACTCTTTATTAATTTGTTTTAAATCTAAAGTAAATTCAATATTCGATGGTCTGATGAAACTACAATTTTATAAAACTAAAATTAAGATTGTGACAGACGTTCCCTAATTATGATTATAAAACAAATTCTTTTATTCCATAGGTGGTTTTTAAAAAATATATATATATAAGGGAATGGGGGAAAAAAAATAATTAAATAATAATGATTGACACTTTTGCGCCAATAAAAAAAAAATAAAAATTTATTGTAAATAAAAATAATGTATTTTATAAGTAAAATACATTTTAAAAAAATATTTTTTTTGTGTTTACCAATCTTTCGTCATCAAATTTTGAAAATGTGTCTCCAAATCCAAAAAAACTTCTTCCAGCAAATAGGAACAACTTATGGAGATTTAAAACAAAAAATAATAATAATATTCAAAAAAATGTTTTGAAAAAGAAAAATTGTAACTTTTCTTTCGATCTGATCATAATTTATTTGTTTCAAAATAAAATTAAATGATTGTTTAAAAAAGGAAAAGTAACTTGGAGGGGGGTGGGGGGGGGGGGGATTTTATAGATCTACCCTGAAACTTTCTCTAGTTTCCTACCAATTTATATATTATGTCTTTTTTTGTTTTTTATCATCTTTAAAATTTAATATTTTGTGTTTTTTTATTGTTTTTATCATCTTGAAAATTTGATATTATTTTTTTTTTCTCCTCAAATCCGAAATTATATTATAAAAAGAATTTTTAAAAAATGATTTTTTTTTTAGCATAAGTATACTGTAGTTTAAAGGTTAAGTGGATTAGAATCAAAACTATTAGATAAATAAGTACTATTTATCTAAAAGAAAAAACGATAAATCAAGTTAGGATAGATGTATCAAATCAAATTGGGCATGACGTAATAGTTTTAAGTTTATATTTTTTTTTAAACTAATGTTAGAAATTTATCATAAAATGACTAAAGTTCCTTATCACGGATCGAGTGAGGATTCGGATCAGAACCCTAAGCAAAAGTAGCGGGCTTAATCACCCAATATTCTAAATAAAAATGACTCTCAACAACGCCTCAGAGAATCTTGATAGGAAGCAACGATTCCAAATTACAGGAAATAATGAAAACTTAAGATGATAAATTATTATTTTTTTTTAAAAAAAACACCCCCTATCGGCCACTTTATCGAGCGTTTTGACCAATTTATTGAGTTTCATTTGCAAAATGCTTTTGTCCATATCATCCTGTTCCTCTGGGTCCACCACGTCGTCCCTAAGTTTTACCATAAAATCGCCGAAACTTTGACAGTTGTCAATGACAGCCATCTAAAACATGTTTGTATCATGGAGAAAAAAAAAAGAATGAATAAATTTGAAAAGTAAAATGTTTTTTTTAGCGTTACCGTATAATGAATAAAATAGTGAGGATATTTTCTGTCAACTATATGCTTATTGTGGTATTCCTTGAGAGCCTCTAAAAAAATAAATAAATCCAAAATTTTATAAAAAATATAATGACATATAATATGTATATATTCGCTTATAACAAAACAATTAATTATAATTTATAAATTATGAGTCTGTAAGCAGAGTGTTGGGCAGTACCGCGAATACTTGTATCTGAGATAAAAGATACAAATAAAGTATCTTTTTTGATATTTTGAAAAAAGATACTAGTATCTTATAAAGAATCCGTATCAAGATTCTTTTTTCCGGAGGACCTGCTCAACACTGTCTGTAAGTCACGGCTCATTAAAAAAATTTTAAAAAAAAAAAACCCGCTCGGTTTCCCGAAATTTAAAGAAAGTCGGACCTGACTCAGCCCGCTAAAATTTTACCGAATTTTCTGTTCGTCACATTTTTAAAATATCTATATATATAATTCTCTCCCCCCCCCCCCCCCGCCTCCCAAAGTCAATTTCTCTTCCTCTTATGGCTATCTGTATCTAAATCAACCAATTTTGTATCAAAATATTAACTTGAAATTCGAGAAAATATATTATTTAAAAAATTTTAATGCCCTTTTTCCCTGTATCTTGCCTTAAATTTTATATATATATATATAAATTGTCCAAGCCCATGTCCGAATTTTTTTTTCGATAGCACGGCCCGGATATATACGACTCGTCCGTCTATTACAATTTTCCGGTCCGACCCGCAGGCTACCCGCCGGAACTCGAACAAATCGAGGAACCAGAACCCGAAACTCTCTTATCAAAATTTATAGGAAGCGAAACCGGAACCTAGAACACCTTTCCAAATTTCTGAAAATCCGTTCGTTTCTATACCCTAAAAGTTCACAGTAAGGCATGCCCGAAGGGCCTAGAATTGATATTTAATTATATAAATTAATCAATTAAAAAATCATTACTATCATAAGTTTTTAAGACTAAATTCGTTGACATTTATTTATACCTAAATATCCGTACAACAAATTTTTTGGTCACAATCGGCTATAATATAATTAACTAATTCGAATCCCCAACAACAGATTCTCACGACAGACAAAGAAAAAAAACCCCTGATCATATATAATAACGTTAAAAAAATATGTATATTAACTTTACTCCAAAAATAAGATTAAACTGTCTATAAATGTCAATTAAAGCGTTCGATGTTCATTCGCCGCTCCCATATCTTCATTTTTTTTCCCCCATTCGAAAAAAAATTTACAAAAATATAACGGCCAAAATAAAAGTAAAGCAACAAAATTTCGAAAATAATCAAAATACAGAGGGTTTAAAAAATACATTTTTATCCCTCCTAGTCTGGGCGGACCGTAAGAATTCTCTGCAGATCTTTGCTAAATATAGGATTTAGAATCAATCTTGTCTTTAAAACAATAACGTTAACAACAATTTTTTGATCTCATCATGAAAGATTTTCTATGCAAGAAAATTGCTATTTGAAGGTTCATTTCAAACTCTGATTTAAAAATGAGTATTATCGCTCGCGGGTTCTTGGCGCGATGAGCATAAAACGAATTTGATCGGACCAAAATAACCGGGTTTGTATCCGGTTTCTAAAATTTGAAAAAGCGGATCTTCGGCAGGATTTCGAGAGTGTGAAATTCTGGTTTCGGTTATTTTAAAACTTGGCCAAATCAATCAACCTTTATTAAATCAATCAAAAAATAATAATTTTCTAATTTATACTATAAATAAACCTCCCAAGCAAACCTATTTACACGATATAATTATATAAATTACTATGAGCCCTGGAATTTAGAAACCAACAGGTTACCAGAAATTTCTAAATGATTTCTGTTTCCGGTTTCGGTTCCTATAAATTTTGATAAGAGAGTTTATGGTTCTGATTCCTTGATTTTTCCAAGTTCCGCCGGTTCCAATCTCTGCCATTTTGTTAGAATTTTTTCTTTAAAAGAAAAGAGATAATTAAATAAAATGTAACCAGAATAAAGATTGGCGAATTCGCTCATCTGATTTACTAGCAAATGGACAGCTTTGGTTGTCAAATTTTGACTGACTTGTTCGGCTACTTTGATCTTTAAAAAAAATATATATATGAATATTATATACATATACAATATGGCTCCTTAGAAAATCGTAAAAAGTGATTGATTGGCAACTTGTCCCATTTATATATGATTTCATTTAATTAATTTCCTTTTTTTCGAATATTTTGCTTATTTAAGTTTTTCTTATTTTTTAAATTAGCTAGTAAAAAAATATCTTAATCGGGGGTGGGGGAGGAGGTGGTGGGGGGAAGGGGGGGGGGGGTGGGGGTGACTCCTCGCCTTATTTTGCGTTTTTTTTCTACAAAGTATAAGTTTTTTTTACTCTTTTCGGCATCTTTTAACATAGACTTTAAAAAAATTCAAGTACATTTAGGCCACTGTCTTAGTCTGTTCAAGCAAAAAATCCAATATTTATGGAGATTCATGTGATGGATTCTAGGAAAAATAATCACCCCCCCCCCCCGGGAAAAATTTGAGAATTTTTTTTTCCCTCGGAGAATTATTTTCCGCGTAAGCTTACCCATGAGTAAGTGTTGTTAAACCGCTCGATTTGAGTTTATTATTCAAAAAAAAAATATGGTGAAAGTCCTGAAGATTTTGCTAGTAGATGGAACAAAGGGATTGGGCATCCTATGAGCGAAATCTCGAGGCATGGGCAATATTGATTCCGGCTAAAATATTGGAGTTACCCGTTTTTTTTAAAAAAAATCGCCTCATCGCGAGCCGCTTAACAACGCTATTAAACTAACACTATCTATCAGAGAACCTTGAGAGGTCAAATTTTAAGGCCAGTCAGTATAGTGTTGCTAAAATGGGTCAATTTTGTTTTTAAAAAGAGCACCAAATATTTAGGCCCAAAAAAAAATAACGTGAAAAGTCCTGAATTTTAGGCTCGTAGATGGAACAAAGGGTTTGGGACATCTATCGGCGAAATTTCGAGGCTTAGGCAATACTCGGTCAAATGTGGAGTTCCATATTTTATCCAGAGAAATATTATGCGAGCGTAAAAATTTTGCTCATAAATGGCACATAGGATTGAACATCCATTGGCGAAATCTCGACGCTTAGGCAATGTTTTCCGGGCTAAAATGTTTGAGTTAACCGTTTTTATTAATCGACTCAAACCGACCCGTTTAACAACACTACCCATGAGATAGGTATTACTATTATTTATAAAACGAAACGTGATGTCAATCAATTTTTTTTTATTTTTACTATAATATTTTCATCGATATCTTTTATTCTTATAACTTCTTTTTTTTAAAAAAAAAACTCTTTCGTTTTTGTAATTCCTTAAAGGGACCTCGTTTGTTAGCAAACGCGTATCGCTCAAACGTAGCGCGTCGCTGGAGATATTTTTTTCGAAAAAGCAACCAAAAAATAGATAAAATTTGAAAGAAAGAAATGAAAAATGAAAGAAAGATTAGAAAGAAATAAAGAATGAAAGAAAGAATGAAAGAAAGTAAGTAAGTAAATTTTACCGATTTTTTGCTTGCTTTTGGAAAATAATCAGGGATACGCGCTTACTATAAACGAGGCCTAAGTTAGTGTATTCTTATTTCTTCCTTCTTTTTATCCCTCTTGCTTCCATACCATTCCAGTAATTTTTTTCTGTGGTTCCCTTGCCTTAATTATATATATTTAATTTTTTTTGAAGAAAAACAAGAATACATTTTGTTTGCACATGTCGTGAAGTACGAAAGGCATTTGAGTGTTGTAAAAATAACCGTCCACCATATCGGGTATTTTCTCGCTGTACCAATCCTATTATTTAGAATTTTTTTTTAAAAAAAAATAAATAAATAAAATTACAATGTTTATAATTGAGTGATCACGTGACACAAAAATCTAAAAAAAATTTTTTTGAAATAGATCTACTTTAATGTTTTTTAAATTTAAATTTAAATGAAAGAGATAAATGCAAACCAATCCTATTTGGAATAAAATTACAATACTACGAAAGATGAAATGGTTGGCTAATCACGTGACACGAAGATCTGAATTCTTATTTTTTTGGAAATAGCAGATGAGAAGATACAAGTTAAATGGCGTTATTTAAATTCAATATCCCAGACGAATGATATGAATGAGGGAAACTAGAGTAAGATTGGCTACTTTCTCGCTGTACCAAACCTATTTAGAAATAAAATTATAAAAGTTACAAAGAATGGCTGAGTGATCACGTGACACAAAGATTTGATTTTTTTTTGAAATAGCAGATGGATGAAGATAAGTTAAATGATGTTATTTAATTTCCTTAAACGAATGATATGATATGATATGACGGAAACCAGAGTACGATAAATAAATTGAAAAATACATGTCCATCATAATCAAAAAAAGACAGACGATATATATGAGATCTGGCAAAGATAAGCCCAGCCCCCGGGGTAATTTTTTTTTTAAAAAACTCGGATCAGCTGGTTCGAGATTTATGTTAAAAATTTTGTCGAGAAAACAAGGTGCCGATCATTTTGTTTTTTTTATTTTGTTTGTGGAATGATCGGTTAACTCGATTGGATTGTGTTCAATGTAGAAACTAAATAGAAAATAGGGCCAGGATAACAAATAATTTATTTTTTCTACGGATCGAGTAGGGTTTCTCGGTACAAAATAGACAAAAATTAGCTGGGGATAGAGACGGGTAAAGGTCTGCACGGGATGTCCGAAGCCCGACCCGACCCGAGGCTCGGGTTGGATTTGGACATTGGAAATTTTTTCCTCAGGCTCGACTTCTGGTCGGTCTGTAAGATGTGTCTGAACCGAGGTCCGCGAAAAAATATGTATTAAAAATAACAAATATCCTAAATAATTCAAAATATATCTAAAAAATTTCTTGAATTCGGGCTCGGGTCCGACTCGATCCGCAAAAATATCACGTTGCGGACCTCTAGAGACGCGGACCGTTTTTTTAAAAAATAATTTAGGGCTGGGTTGGGCCGGGCTCGAAAAATTTGGCTCGATAGATCATTAATATATCGTCAGCTGAGTATATCCAATTTTTTGTAAAATGTATTTTTTTTTTGATAAATGAATTCTTCGGGTATATTGTATTCTTACGTATATCCACAATAAAAATATTAAAATATAATTTAGAAGTGATCCTTTATTTGTTACTATTACATTGTGATAGATACCCTATCTAAAAATACAAGAAATATATATTATAATTCTCTCCTGAAACAATTTTTTTAAAAAACACATAGAGAACACTATAACACTCACCTCGACGCTTTATATTTATTAACCTTAGGATTTAGTTTTAAAAAAAAAATGTCGGATTTCTGTTTCATTTCCTTTTCAAATTTTCTAAAATATACATTTTTTATAGAGCGTTTAACGCCGCGTTGCAAGAGCGAATAATGCCTTTCAAAATGGCCTCGCACAAATTGGTAAAATTATCGTTTGGCGTTAGCAACCATTTTTTAAAAAAAACGGAAATGGGTTTGCTTTTTTGTTACCATTTTTGTAATATTATACAAAATGTAATATATAAATAACTTACTTATAATCCTAAAAAAAGGAATATTTTAGAAATTAAATAAAATAAAAAGGCAGACGATAATTATAATATCCAGAAGACAAATCCTATTTTTTTGGTTAGAACTTATTTAAAATTTTAAATCGAACGGATATTGATAAAAAAAAAAGATGTCAATTAAAACACAAGGGACGCGTTACGTTTTTTTTATTAACTTTTACGGGTAAAACGTAAACGCTCAATTTGTGGGCACTATCACGCCGGTACGCCTCGAAGCCAACCAATAATTTACCAAAACGAAAGAAAATAAATGTCAATCAAATTTAAAACCTTGGAATCGGATTTGACCGTATTGCGCATCCACTCTTGAACGTTGTTTTGCATAGTTTGCAAATATCTGACACCCGCGGAAGGCATTAAAGATAATAAAATAGTATCATAAATTACGCGAAAATTATTTTACGGGCCTAGTCGCGGCAAGTTGGATATAAAGTTATAACGGGCTGGGGCAAAATACTTCGGGGCTGATAAAAACCTTAGGTTCGGGCCTTATCGATCGTCGAGGTTAGGGCCGGATTTACAGCAAGGTCCGATCCGACGGAATTTAATTGCTGATCGATTGCGATCAATTTTTTTTCTTACTAATATAAATAATTCTCAGATCTCGTAAACAGATTTTTTTTTTAAAAAATTGATCAGCTGTTAAATCGTGTTGGAATGGATCCCGCCATGTATCCAGCCCTAACGTTTACGAAGTCTAAACCAGGACCGTAATTTTTTTTTTAAAATAAGATATTCAAAGCCGGAAACAGGAAACTAATTTTTTTTTTGACAGAAATTTTTATTTTTAAAAATATTAAATTACTTTTCGATCAAATTATCTTTAACGGATTGTTCCAACAATGGCGGCAAATTTAAGTCGGCGATCTGAAGATCGGGATGTCCCAATAAGTCGCGTCCACTTTTTTAGTTTTGATAAAAAAAACGATATATATAAATATATATTGATCGATTTCAAAAAACTGTTCTTTGCTTTCAAAATCATAATTTTTATCCCGATAATTAACACCGATTCTGAGCAACTTCGAAGACGCTTCGGCTAAATTTATATTTTCCATTCGCTGGATTAAGGAAGGAATTACTAATGGAAAATTTATAATCTTAACCAATAATTTTATCGTAATTTTTTTTTAAATCTACCCAATAATTTTTGTAGCAAAATTTTTTTTTCCCCGTTATTTCGCAATCGCTATATTATCTCCGCTCGTTTTGTTAAATAACCGCTTTACCTTGAATTCCTAGTGCCGCGATGGCGATCGCGATACAGCTGATCGATTTTTTTTAAATATGTTTTTGAGATCCATTTTTAATTTATTCAATTCATAATAATAAATCTAAGAAAATAATGATTTAAACAAAGGAAATTTGATCACATAAACAGATTTTTTAAAAAAAAACTGTCAGCTGTTAATCACAATCGTGCCACTAGGAATTAAAGGTTAGAAGAATGGGAAGAAGAAAAATAGTATTATTTACTCGTAATCTTTGATCCACGTCAGCAGGGTAATAATTTCGTTGCCTTCCAAGTTATCGTCCACCAATTCTTTAAGCTTTTGGATTTATAAAAATTATTTATATGGCGCCATTTCGATTTAAATAATTAATTAGTGGTTTTTAAACGATTCGATTTCAGCTGATTTATATTTCGTCTAGAAAAAAAATTAGGGCATAATCTTTTAAAATTTTTGGTTCACAGATGGCACAAAGGTTGTGGGCATCTATTCAGCCAAATCTCGAGGGTGTGCAGGGAACATTTTTCCGGCTAAGATATAGAGTTTTAACCATTATCGGCTCAAATAAGTAGCTATTTAACAATACTATATAATTAATAATGATTGAAAGGTTCGATAATGTGATTGATTTACGCACTATTTTAATAGATGTCCAAACCTTTCTGCTATCTGTGAGTAAGTATCTTCCGGCTTGCATAATCTTTTTGGCTAAAATATTGGATTTGACCGTTTTTAAGAACAGAGCCGTGTAACGACACTAATTTATAGTATTACTCCGCATAGTTTAAGGGTAGGGTTCGATAAAGGAAAAATATTTGACAAGCATTTGGCCCAAATATTCGAGGTAAAAAAAAATCTTTGAGGATTCTTGCTTTTTTAATTAGTATCGTTTTTTTTATTAAAGTAACGAAATGTATATTTTTTTTTCGATAGCCAGTTACTTTTTTTTAAAAAAAATAAAAAAAAATCTACAATTCTTAACACTTACCCAAAAAAATTATTGTTAATTAAATAATATAATATAATGTCTCGTTTAAATTCATAAAGTTTGCTTGGTCTAACGGGGCATTAATTTAGGGGGGAAAACGCGCGTGTCATTTAAATAGTGTCGTTATAAACGGCTCAATTTTGAGCCGATTTTTAAAAACGGTAAAACTAAACATTTTAGCCAGGAAAATATTACGCGAGACTGAAGATTTTGGTGGTCATAGGTAGCGCAAAGGTTCATACATCATCTATTAGAGAAGCTTCTAAGTTTAGGAAATATTTTTTTTCCCCGGCTTAAAATATCGAGTTTGTCGGTTTTTTTTTAAAAATTGGCTCAAAAAATAACCCGTCTAACAACACTACATTTTAGACACCGATCTTGAAAATAGTTTCGAGTTAATGAAAGTCGTTATAAAAAAATTTATCAAGGCCCAATGAGAAACGATTATTAAATTTCGTGCTATTTATATATATTTTTTTTTATTATGGCGCAAATGGAGATATGTTCCTCAATGCCTGTTCATTTTAATTTTTTTTAAGTCCATTTAAACCTTCCAATAATTAAATTTTTGTAAAATCGCTAAAAAAAATTATTTTGTACAATAAAAAAAAGAAGGATTATATTAAGAATTCGGAGTTATATTAAATCATTTATATAAGTAGCTTTCGATGCAATCGGTTGCTTTTGAAAGTATCAAGTTACTTTTAAAACGTAACTTGTCACTGGAACTACTAAACAACTAGTTATGCTCTTCTAGACAATGTAAAGAGTGCAACCTGTAAGTAGTTAATTTTTAAAGACTTAACAATACTAGATTTTTTAGACGTATAATCACAAAAAATTTACGCATAAAAGATTTTTTATAAAAATAAATAAATTAGAATTTTAGGCAAAATTTAATAGGAAATCTTGCTTTCGGACCTTTTCCTTTTATGATTGACACTTTTCCTTTTTTTGAATGGGAAAACCTGTTATCGAAAACCGATTTTCTATAGGAGGTCGAACCTGCCCCGTACAGTTACCCCAAGTTCGATGGGTTGTGATTTACATAAAAAAAGAAAGAAAGATTTAATAACTTACTCTGTAAGATAAGGCCTTGTGGTACAGATTAGTCATGACGTGGAATATGTTATAGGTGTCCGGGAAACATGGCGGCAAAATTTTCTAAAATTAAAAATTTTTTGGACGAATATAATATAAATATAATAAATATATATATATATATATATACTTAGTATAGTAGTTATAATGAAATATTCTATTTTCTCCATAGATTGTTACTTTAATCCATGGATGTTTAGAACCAGAAGTGGAACTTTAACATATAATATAATATATAATAATAATATATTCTTCATTACAATTTTTTTTTACGTTGATAAAATATAAAGGTTTAAACTCGTTCAATATAAAGTGTAATATCAAAATTCATAAAAGAATACTATAAAAAAAATAGCATAATATATAAAACTATGTTTAATTTAAGAGGTAAAAAATAAAACAATACAAATATAAAAAACTATATTTTTTAAAAAAAAACATAAGAAGAGGCAAAAAGAAGCTCTCATTAAGATCCGAGTAAACTAAGATAGTTTTCTCGGAACCAGAGACCTTCATGGGCTGGAGCGGCCTGAAGGTCCATGGGGTGGTATGGACCTAATATTATATTTTCTACCTTACATAATTTTATTACCTTTATTTTTATATTATTGTAATTATTAATAAATTTTTCATTTCATACTTAAAATTTATTAACCAGTTTATTATAGATTAATCATAGCGATAATGTTCTATTCATATAAAATAGTATCACTATTCAAAATACTAAATTAATAATTTAATAATAAAATATTCATTTCATACTTAAAATTTATTAACTTGTTTATTATAGATTAATCATTGCGATAATGTTTTCACCATTTAAAATAATCATTTCATACAAAAATTATTAACTTGTTTATATAGATTGTGACAATGTTATCATCAAATTGAAAAATTAATAATATTTCATTTCACACTTAAAAATTATTGATGATTTATTTTAGTATCTTCTATAAATATAAATAAATTAAAGTTTTTTAAGAATATATATAAAAAAAACTATCTTTCTTATATTAAAACTAAAATAAACTGTCGATATCCAAGCGAGGTTTTCAAAGTTCTAATGGCTAAAAACTTTCAACTTGGTAGTTCTTATTATTTTAAAATACAAAGTCTTTATATTTTTTTTTACCTTTTCAAAACAAATGATTTTACAATATAACGTCTTTATTTTCTTGTTTCAAAGGAAATTTTTTTAAAAAAATATATATTTCAGGTTTATTTTATTTTTTTTTTCATAATAAATATTAAAAATATTTATAATAATGGTCACGATGAGATCGCGAAACTTTAAAAAAAAATATTAAAAACAAAACTCCAAAAAAAATATTTCATGACTCACACAAAAAAAAAATAATATTAATTATGATTAATAAATAAAAATATATAAAAACCTTTGAACACAAAAAAAAGTTGTTTTACAAAGACGAAAAAGAAGGGGTGGGGGGTTCGTAAATAAAAATAAAAAGTAATCATCTATTATTCTAACACATGTTCACATAAATAAAAAAATACTATGATGTTAAATATTTTAAAAGTTTTATTCCATATATTAATATCGAATTTTAATTATTCTCGAAATTCTATTAAGGAAAATGATAAAAAAAAAATTGTTTTATTGTAAAAAAAAAAAATTGTAATATTTATTCGGGTCCGGTATCAATTAAATTGATAATAGAAAACAAGTTATAAAAATTATTACTAGATACATTCAATAACTAAGTAATAAAAATTAATAATTATATTACATCTAATTTAATAAGAGATTGTTTAAATCTTTTAATATAATAATTTTAATATATAATTCAATAATATTCAATCCGCTAGTTGGCGTATTCTTATTTTTTAAATTAAAATAAACTTTATTTTATTTATTATCTACATAAAAAAAATTCTGAAGCAAATTACGAGTCAAAATGCTAGATTTCTAATATGTATTTTTGCATAAAATTATTAACTTGTTTATTATAGATTCTCATTGTTATAATGTTCTCATCATTTAAAATAATATCATTATTAACAATACTAAATTAATAATAAAATATTCAATTCACGCTTAAAAATTATTGACTCGTTTATAGATTAATTATTGCGACAATGTTCTCATCATTTAAAATAATATCATTCCATACTTAAAAATCATCGACTTGCTTATAGATCATTGAACAATGTGATAATGTTCTCCTCATCAAATTAAAAAATTAATAAAATGTTCATTTCATTCTTAAAAATTATTAAATGATATTATTTTAAATGGTGACAAATCTCACATATAATTAAAGAAAATATAAAACAATCTTTCGTTTTATACTATACCTAAAAAAGCTGTCGATATCCCTAGCAGGTATCAATTAAATTGATTAAAAAAACAAGTTATAAAAATTATAATACTAGATATATTCAATAATTAAGCGATGTAAACTAATAATTACGCCTAACCTATTTAATTGATGGTTTAAATCCCTTAATATAACAATTTTAATATATAATTTCTATGATATTCGATCCGCAAGATGGCGTATAACATTATTTACTCGCTTCATTTCACTTATTATTTATAAAAAAAAATCGATAGATTTATAAAAATCTTAACTTTTGCGCCTAGAATCTGTCATTTTAAAAAGGGAGAGGGGATAGTCTTTTTAAACGGCTCGTTTGAGCGGCTTTAAAAACGGCTAACTCAACATTTTAGCCAGAAAAAATATTACCAAAGTCTCAAAATTCCGATAATATATGTCTTGATCTTTGTTCCTTCTACGAACAAAAATCTTGAGGCTTGCGTAATATTAATCTTGACGAAATATTGAGTTAGCCGTTTTTAAAAATCGGCTCAAAACGAGCCGTTTAACAACACTAGAAGGGGATACCAGCATTGCCACTTTACGAGTTAAATTTCTAGATTTCTTAATAGTTTTTTTATTAAAATCAATTGCACTATGGTTAAATTTTAAGGCTTATCTACAAGATGATTAATTTTTTTTAAAAAAATTTGATCTACTTTGTTATTGAAATTTTTTTTTAAATAATTTAAATTATCAAATTTTGCAAACTTGAGGAATTAATATTAAAAGAAGAAAAAAAAAATTAATATCACTAAAAAAAAATATTCCCTTTCTTTAAAAAATTTTAATAGTGCGATAATAGCAAATTTAATTATAAAAAAAGAAATTTCCGATGTGTTTTTTTCACAGAAATGTGTTATTTTTTCAATCTTAAATCACATTTAATTAGATTTTATCGGGTATGTATTCAATAATGTTATGATTTAATTATATATATTGACGATAATTCAAACCAATTAATATAAAATGATAATATTTGCAAAAATAATTTAAAATATAAGACAAAAAGCATTATTGAAATTTCTTTAATTATTTTTTTTGTTGTACTGCATGTGTTTTAATTAAATCGTCAATATGTTTCATTAAATCATCACAACAACACTGTAATGTTCGGAATACCTGCACTCTGAATTTCGGGTAATTTTTCCCATGAATTTATATATTAGTTTACCCATAGATTTTTCGTATAAATTTTTAAATGTCTCCCAAAGTTAACGGCAAAATTTATCTACAATTCGTAAGATAGGTATTCTAAACGTGCTGGAGTACATTTCCGGTCAAATCAAAGTTAAAAAATAATAATAACATATTGCCACTAATAACATAATAATAATAATTTTAAAATTAATAAACGCCATCTTGCGGACTGAATATTATAGAATTATAAATTTTAAGTATATTAACTCAAAATTCAAAAATCTTCACAGATCGTTGCTCTTTTGAAGATCAAAATATGCGAAGATTTTTTCGCTAAAAAAAATTTTGAGCTTGCTCAAAGAAGATTTTTGAGCAAAATAAAAAATATTTTTTGTAAAAAAATCTTCTATAATTTTGAGAAAATATTTTGAGAATTTTATAATAAAATAAAATCTTTTGTAAGGAAATCTTTATTAAAATATTTTTGAAATTTTGATCTTAAATTTTTTTGGTAAATTCTTTAAAAATAAAATTTTTGATATATATTTTTTTTTATTTTATTATGTTAATGAAAATATTTTTTTTGAATAGGTTGTGAATGTGAGAATTGGTCATTATACCGACTGCATTTTTTTTAATATTTGGAATAAGTAATAGTGATTATTTTAAAAATGTAATGTCATAATTTTAATGTTTTATATTTAATGTAAACTATAAAAGTGACAATTGTCATAATACTCATCTCAGAACCTTTAAAAATAATTATAATTAAAAAAGGCTAGTTGAGCATGTTTTGAGATGGTTTCAGTGATTGTAAAGCATATAAAGGTGACAATTGTCATAATAACATATGTTTTAATTGGAAATAGAGAAAAATGATTATTTCAACATGAATTAATATAATGTGTAAACTATAAAAGTGACAATTGTCATAATATTCATAACAGAACCTATAAAAATAATTTTATTTTTAGGTATTAAATAGGCGAGAAAAAATTTTTTGAGCATGTTTCGAGATGGTTTTATTGTAAAAATTGTCACAATCGTTATTTTTGAACTTTTTTAAAGCAAGTAGATAAAAATTTATTAAATATAAAATTAAATGTGGATGTACCATAGAGCAGTGACAATTGTCATAATCGTTATTTTTGAACTTTTTTGAATTTTTTTGAAGCAACAGAGTAAAATAATAAATTGTAAACATGTTAAATTGAAATTTAAATGTGGATGTACCATAGAAAAGTGACAATTGTCATAATCGTTATTTTTAATCTTTTTTGAATTTTTTTGAAGCAAAAGGGTAAAATTATATATTGTAAACATGTTAAATAAAAATTTCAGTGAAGATGTACCATAGAAATGTGACAATTATCATAATTGTTATCTTTGAACTTTTTTGAATTTTTTTAAAGCAAATAGGTAAAAATATATATTGTAAACCTGTTAAATTAAAATATCAGTGAATATGTACCATAGAAAAGTGACAATTGTCATAATCGTTATTTTTAATCTTTTTTGATTTTTTTTGAAGAAATTATATATTGTAAACTTATTAAATTAAAATTTCATTGAAGATCTACCATA